CCAAAGATTGGATACGCTTGTATCCGATTCGAAATTCGGAATATTAATGATACAAACTCTATATATTTTAGGTTTAGGATGTAAGAAAATCACCTGTTTCATAACTGTTAACAAAATTGATCTTAGTAATAATACTGATTTGACTATTTACCGTACACAATATGATTAGTTGTGATAATAGTTATGAAAAAATCTATGAACACACAGAATAGCACGCGGTCTAGATGCTTGAATTCTCCAAGCAAAGGCATTGATTGAGCGATACAGTATATCTTTAGATTAACTGTTTAAAACTATGAATATCTCAAGTGAAAGAGAGAGTGAAAGATACGCGTATCTGTGCGTATCTATGCGTATGTATTTCCATTAGTTGCATACGCTTTTAATAGGGTCTTTTAAACTCATAGAAAATTATGACTATTAGTTTTAATATAGATTCTGTAGTGCCGGTACTAGACAACTGCTTTATTTCGAGCAACAGGTACACTAGTTTTGATTTATATTTTTAATTTGTTATAATATGCTAAGTTACAAAGTTTAAAGTTTTCCTGTGACAGGTTTAGTTTACCAACTGAGCTATTAGCATTTTGTAACATAAGCGTATTTAAGCAGCAGCTGGTGTAATGTGATTTTTTTAGTTTTAAGATTGCGGCCTCGCAATAATGATTGGGATAATAATCTTCAATATAATAATAATCAATAATAATCTTCGCCCTTTAAGATTGGGATCGGTGAAAGAAATATCTGCATCAGCTATGGTAAAAAACCAGAGAAATCGTTACAACTGGAACATGCTACTTCAACTTTAACTCATTCAGAACTTGCTTATTTTTATGGATTATTTCGGTTGACTGGCATTTTCGTACGCTTCACTGATCTTTACAATTTCAAGAGATCTATTGTTGAAGCCGTCAAATGCGGAACTGACCTACCAGATTATAACCCACCCTACGGGACCCGGATTAGTGTAGGTAGCAAATGCGGAACCAACCTACCCCCGTGTTGGCTGGGGTGAGACCCAGCGCAACCCTACCTCGTCCATGCTGTACAAGTGTAGGGTGCTCTCTTTATATTATGTTCACAGCAGTAATAATGCATCAAGATCTCTTCCAACAACTTGTTTTCTTGAGCTTCAATGTTATATGTTTGTTTATTATAACCGGATATCGATATCTAGCTAATTAATCAGACTTTTTGTTACGAACTAGTCGTATTGGAATGTTATTGGTTTCACAAGCTTCGGTAGTTGATGCCCTTCAATCCCCGCTTGTTAGAGAACTGATGGCCAACCCCGATATTGTGATACTGCATAATTGGCAAGTAAACAAGTTATTAAATCGGTCAAATCGCTCACAGAACAAGTTCGACTCGCTGAAGGGAATCAAACCGATCTACTCCAGATAGTTGGCAATAATTGGAGGAACCTTACCTAGCGATGTCGAGCGACGAGCGATCTATCGCAGCGAGCACAGCACGATCGCCGATTACCGCTACATTGCCTCATTGTTAGAGGCACGGGCCGCTTCTTGTTATCGATCTGCATAAAAACGGAGCGAGTGAATCCGATCCGAAATTACCTCGCCACGGTCGCAGATAGATCACGTGTAAAGTAGATTGGCCCCGTGGCGGCATCCCGGGGTGTTCAGGGCACATCACAATGGAGCAGCGGAGGTGATGGAATTTGACTGCGACCTCCAGCGATTATATCTGATCGATCTGACTGTCAAACAACCTGATGTATTGGCTGCGCACTTGACCTTGGCAATGGGTACGGAACAATCCTTGCATTTCACGACCCGATATCAGTTATACAGCATCTCAAGAACACAAACCATAGTATAGCTCTTAAACCATAGTATGGTTTTCGTGAAAGGTGGGATTTAGGAAGATTACATCTTTTTAAGATTCCTTCCCTTGAGAAGCTACTCGAGCATTTTTTTGCATCTAAGTAGATCGCAGAAGTAAATCGCCTTAAGGAGTTTGGGCTGTGCAGTTCTTTGAGGATGTGAACTGAGGCGCGTCCCGACTAAGCCACCACTAATCTGATGATGTCTAGAGTGTAGGGCTGGGGACTGATTTGTGGGATATGTCCACCTGTTGTCCCACTCACACATCCCTGGGAACTGTTCCTCCCCCACGTCTACCAACCCTTGACGCAGTGTAAAAAACCATATATCGTTACCAACACTACTGTATGATATGCTTAGTATAATGAACATTTATAATACAATCCCACAATCGTTGGATGACACGTGTGTTATTATCATAGTATTAACACATCGTGATATCTGGCGGTTTGAAAGCCAATAGATGTGAAACACGCGGATTTATTGGTTGAGTGCGTCCAAAATTGTTATATCGTGGATAAAACACATAAATTGTGTTTGACTTGCAAAATATTCACCATTTCGTTGGTTTACCGATATCACTGTATCGGTAAAAACTTCTATATTAGTGTGGTGTAACACCTGTTTTTTACTTACTACTTTCCTTTATGTTGCTCAAATTAATCGACCAAAAATAATTAATTTCATTTATATTGTACATTTAACTTTTATCGTTTCAAACAAAGAATAAAATGAAGGATTAAGAGCAAAGGACATTTTAATCATATGAGTGATCGCCAGCGTTCACCTTTGTTCGTGTTTATCTTGACCTGATACAACAACGTGCGCTTGTTTTTATTTGACTAAAATATTTTAACTGCAAAGTGATTAACTTGTTTTAACTAGTGTTATTAATGCAATTAATGGTGCAAGTTTATATTAGTACAAACTAAAAATATTCAGGACATTTTTTATACAAACGAAATTCACTTATACACACATATTAAGTTTTTAATTGAAATAATGCTATTTACAACGTAGTCCGTTGACGTTTTAGTCGGAGACAGATTCTCGTATATTATTGTCTCTCAAGAGTGCAAGCTTAGCGTTTGCATACAAGAAGGGAAGCCTCATCAGATTTTGCCTAATGTAGGTTAACACCCCCGGGTTACGCAATCTGCTTCTCAACCTGTTTAGACATTCTGGAGCGCGCCCTTCGCGGTAATTGAAATCTTTAAATTGATGGTTTATTTAATTTTCTAATTTCAGCTTCTCATTTTAAGATATTGTTTGAACAACTCTCTCGCAGCATGGCTAAATAAACTAGTCTCCACGTTAAGCCGATAATGGAAATTAAATCAATTCATTTTAATTAACTTTTTAACATTAAAACACTTTCAAACCTTCCTGTGACTTCAGTGGATTAATATTTTTGTATATCACATAGTGAAGGATATATAAAGAAACTAATACATTCTGAAAATTAGTATACATACAATATTTCTGTAAAACCTGTCGTTTTGTGTTTTAAGAATCTTCATTTTCAGAAATAAATTGACAAATATCAATCCTTGCTAGCTTAATAAACCGTCACACATCAAGCTACGTCAGGAAAGGAGAGAGAGAATGTGTGTAGAGAGAACATGCACAGTATAGCCTACAGTAGTCGGATCAGGGTGGCGGCGTTACTACCTGCTAATGTTAATGCAATCTATGAGCTTTGATTCCGATATGCGGGGTGAATTTATAGCTCAGAAAGGCTCAATGGAGATGATATATCGAGGGATTGCTCCTTGATCTCCCAATATAACCGACATTCTCATCATGACCTCATGACCGAGCCTCTAACACCGCAAAGGTTTGAAATAGATTGCCTTAGCTAAAAATAAGTACATGTAGATCCAACCGAACCAAACTATTCCACAACTAATTTACCATAAAAGTAAAACTCGGTTAATACTGTTATTCATAGAGTCCATAAAAGCTTATCACTGTAGGAAGCTGTAAGCTGTAAACCAACGTCTGTTACCTCGCGGGGTGTTGGGGTGGTTTCATAACCTGGCGTTTCACTAAATCAGTTTAACTATCTTCATTGCGATTGCATAATGCATATTGCAAACACTTTGACTGCATGATAACACAATAAATTGGTAACGACCTTTCTTCTGTAAAACTCCAATATCACGATAATCTGACGTTTTATACGTTTTACCAACGTCTAATGAGGCCGATCATTACATTACTGTAATTATGTATCTACGGTACACACCTTCTACTCTTTCAAAACTATGACTGATTATTTGTAGAATTAAATTGATTCTCTTACAATTTTTTTTTTAATGTAAGTAATTGCGTTGCTTTATTTTTTATACTGTAATAATACTTATTAGAAGATTTTTTAAACTCATAACTTAGGCCTACTTTGACAAACTTATTTGAGACCTAGCTGATAGTTACTAAGGCATGTTGATTCCTATAGACTAGCTATTGATTAATCTTGTATTTGACGCCTGGATTTAAATGATTTTCCATCACGCTTCAACAAAATTATTTTATATACTGTATATAAAGTATAAAGAGACCCCACTTATAAATTACTGCCCACAATTTCTTGTATGTTAGATAAGAGAGACAACACTTTTGTATATTTCGGCCTGATTTGGATATATATAACCTGACGGGATGAGTAAAAAGGCATTGTAAATAGTAATTAAAACAAGCTGAAAGGATAAGTCGGCCATTCACGTGCCCGTGCCGGACAAAGGGCTTTTTATCCGTATTTTTCATGGGTACGACGTGGCTATGAAAGAAACTCTTTTCGTTTCAATATAGCTGTTATCTGGGGAGCTCCGCGACTCAAAAGGTTTAGATCTCGTCCTGATTACTTCGTCCGGGCTTTTCTGAGGAATAAGGCCAATAAGGGTTAAGGTGTCGGGTCGGATAACAATTTCAGATAACTCCTTCGTCATATCCGTCACGACAATATAGGGAATAACCATGAATAATGAATGGCTTCTCACAGCGAGGCGGTTTAGATAGTGCAATGCATTACTAAATACATAACTAACTCTTTGAGCTCATGCTGAGTTGCACTTTGGCTTCAGAAATCATTTGTCAACTGCGCCAATGGTTCCCGTACTAGTTGTCTAACCCTGCTATGGTGTGTCCACACAGGTGGCGGCCGCGGCGACGTCCCAGGCTCTACACCACGCTCTGGACGGCAGAGCTCACTGGTCCTCTCTCACAGTGATGCTGCCCTCCCACTGGCCAGACTCCTGTGTCCCCGCACACATCCCCGTGCCGTCCCAGGGCGAGGCCCCGGACATCCGCATCGGCGCCACTCACCCCGTGTATGGCGACACCGCATGGACCCAGCAGTCCCGGGGTTGTGGCCAGCAGGGAGACTTCATCTACCTCAGTCATCGTCTGCTGCTGGAACCCAAGGATCTCGGTATGTATACTGTTACACAGTGTTTATAATCTATCCCGGAATGGCCAATCCAAACTCTTAACTACTTTGAACCAAGGGGAGGAAATATCTCTTCTAATATTGAGCATTTCCAAAACAATTGTGTCTCAAACAGTTTTTATTTTTAAGTATTTATTACAAGATAACCTTGTACAACTTTCTTAATTAAGAAGATTTCAGACTTATTTGAAAAGATTACTCTGAAACTACAAGGGGAGTCATTTGACACAAACATTTTAAACATATTGCACATATTAAATGTACATTTTTTGATAAATTTCACAAAAGTGTTGTGTTAACAGGACGCATGCTGCTGAGAGAGTGGGCCAAGTATCGCTACGGAGTGTTTGATGAGGTCGGATACATGGGAGATCCAGTATATCCTGCTTGCTACCATGGAGACCTACATCAGGAGATACAGATCAACGGGTGCTCTGACAAACCTCTGCAACATGCTGGGTGAGTACCACAGTGTATACAGGTGCAGGTGCAGGTGGTGTGTTACAGGTGCAGAATAATTTTATAACTACTATACCAGAAGACATCTACCTAATACAAGTACTCAATAGGTAATTCATTCTTTATTTAGGTATACCGCTATCTTACTTCTCTGCGGGTATAACAAACTAGAATATGTTGTTTATAAACAAAACATATTCAAACCAGGAATAACTGCTGAGAATAAGGAAACGTACAGGAAACCTAGATATTGATACTCGCTAAACCAATTATAAACAACTGAACAGCAATTATGAAATACAATAGATTTCCTTGTATTAATTTAACATTAAATTTTGTTTTTATTTCACACAAATACTAACAAGATCATTAGCGCCCCTTTGATTTGCACAATATAAATTATTTAGCTGAAATGTATTTGTTTAATTAGCTTTTGTTTTTAAACAAAAGCTAATCAAAACATATTTACTATGCTGTAATTGGATTATCCAATGACACCATCAAGCTGAAATTGAAATGAAATGAAATAAAGCTTGTCAAACTAACTGAATTTCGGCTTTGATCTCGTTAACAAAACTGTAATCACTGTGTAATACACAATATATATATATATATATATATATATATATATATATATATATATATACATTGTGCATTAAAACAATGTATAATGTAGTTGAACAATTTAGTACAGCATTTCACTACAAGAAGCTGCTGTTGGTTAAATTATGTAAATTCAAATTTAAATTATGTCCAATTATTGACAATCAATAGGCTAGTTTATATTGCTGGTACCTCATCACAAAAAAAAGTATACATAAGTATACTTCAACCTGCTGTTTTGAGGTTATTTTTTTATTGAGTTAAATTACTTTCTCAATTAATTTATGAGCCTACAGCATGAGTTTTATATCCATATTTGGTTATTAATAAACACTCAGAAACTGTTTTCTTGTGTACCACGTGTTTAGACCACGGTTTGACGAACTAATGATATTTATTTGTTTGACAGAGTGTAAGGTGATACTGATTGTTTACTTTGTTACAGAGAGTGTCACTCGGGGATGGCTTTGAACGTTTCACACACAATCCACCCAGAGGCCAGGACGTCGCTTATGTTTACCTCGGAGCCTGAACACGTAAACCGCTTCTGTGACTCCATCACTCACGACCGCTTTGCCCCGACCAAACACAACTCCCTATGCGGCCATCGCAGCATCTCGGAAATCATCCAGAGCCATCGGGATTTCCAAGACAGGTGAGCAAATGTCAGGCAAAGCATTACCATTACACATCTCTACACTGGAGACTTTCACCATTAAAATAGTTTCTACTTGCTTTTATTAGCAGGAATTTAAAGAAAAGTATGCTAAGGAATGTGAATATCTCAAGCACTTACTTTATGTGAAGGGCCTGTTTGCACCATTGTCATTTTTATTGAAGAATCTCTAACGCTTAAGGGGCAAAAGTCATACCCCTCTAATATAACCTATGTGGATGTACAAAAATTACAAAAAGTCATTTTCATACACACTACTCTTTTTCTAATAAATACAAATAAAGTAAAGTACTTATATTTGAAGCAATTGCAAATCCATGTAGTTCAAATAGCTTATTCCCTGTATGGGAAATTCGCTAAAAACATGAAAAATCATTCCCCTTAACACCAATACTGCATTGTAATCATATTAAGGATGCAATGTGTTTGGTAGAATTTTAACTACATATTATGTTTTGTGTTTTAGTATTGTCAGCGACATCTCAGTGAACACGACTCCGAACATAATGTACAAACGAGCCACTCTGACAAGATATGTTGTTGTCATCGAGGATACCAAGGATATGTTGATCAGAGTGAGTACATCCCCCATACATTGTGCAACTACTACTCTACATGTTTGTCATTAGACTAGTAATTGAATACCTAATATAATTACCCTACTGTACTAGTATAGCAAATCAATAATAATTTGTCATGATGTTTGTTTGTGAAATATTTGTTTTGGTTTCTTGCAAAGTTGTTAAATAATATTTTCACCACACTATGATGTTTTTGGCTGTATTACATACGTTAATTGGTGGCTGAAAGTTACGTTTTGCTGGCCATGCCAGCTGTCGCCAATTTGGGGACCGAGCAGGTTTTTACAGGCCGGGGCCGCAAAATCAGCTGTCCGCTTACTTACTTAAAACATGAATGCGTTTTAAATACACAATCAAAATCCATAGCATTGCAATAGAATTGTGTTATTGTCACCGTTGCCTAGCAACTATTTATTTTGATTTTTGCTGATTCCTCAAATTATTTCTTCACATAACCTTAAAGTTGTAGTTGTGTTGACGATCAGTGTGCATTATTATCCTATAGTGTGGTGAAAAATAGCGTTCGTACCACGGACCGAAATGGTTTTGCAGCTCTCGATCGATTTAAGTTCTCGACTTCGTCTCGAACTTAAAAACTATCTCGAGCCGGCAAAACCCCATTTTCGGCCCTAGGTACGAAATATACTATTATGTTCTTGATTAATTAATTGTTTACCATTAGTTAAATAAAACCAATAAACATTACTATGTTTATTGGTTTTATTGGTTTGTAATTCATATAATTTGTGCAATAGATTTATGCCAAACTTTAGCCAAAGCAACAATAAGTTTGAAGTTTGAACTAAGAGTTGACAATTGAGTACAAGAAACTGTATGAATGACCTACAAACACTGTAGTTCTTGCCTGCCTGCTGGCCTAGTATAGACACAGATTAAATTAGTTAAAATCGAATCAAAGTATACAATATCCTAAAAATACTATGTACAAATGAAACTAAATATCTAATATTGTGTTGCAGGAATCATGGAGTTTCCTCCGTCTTGCACTGAGGAAGTGGGTTGTCCATGATCTACACGCCAACACTGAGGTGGGGCTGGTGTCAGCCAATGAGAGTACATTCCACCGCCTACGGGGACTCAACCCTCTACAGACGACGGGGGCCAGGGACCTGGTGGCCTCTAACATCCCCTACACCCCCGGAGACACACGGGCCCCTGCCTGCCTCAGCTGTGGTATCAAGGAGGCTGTGCAGGTAACAAATCTCCTCTGACACGATATATCTCTTAATGCTTGATGTTGAGCCATAGTTTCTCATTGTTATGTGTAAAAACATGCAGTGTTGGGAAGTAGCGCGCTACAAGTAGCGACGCTACAGTAGCGCGCTACTTTTTTTGTAGCGTTAGCTGTAGCTACGCTACTTTAAAGATTTTGTAACTTTAGCTGTAGCTAGCTACATTTTTAAAGTAGTTGTAGCGGAATTTTAGCTACTTTTCTCGCTACATTAACATTGTTTGAGATAGTGATTTTTATCATAACCTCAACCTTACGTGAAACAAACTCTTTCAAAAGCCTCGTTCACACGGGGCGAGTTTACACGCTACTCGCCGGCGTGTAAGAAGCCGGCGATTTGGCGAGTGTGCTTGTATTCGTTCACACGGAGCTTGTCCACTAGCCAACTCGCCGGCGTGTAGAAAGACGCCGGCGAGTCGGCGAGTGCGCTTGTAGTCGTTCACACGATGCTTTTTCCACTCGCTCAGTAGCTGGCTTGAACCAAATCCTCCACCATCTTTGAACGCGCACAAGCACAAGCAACTGTGTTCACACTGGGCTACTTTACACGCCTACTCGCTCAAAAGCTGGCGAGTTGGCGTGTAAAGTAGCGGCAGCGTCAACTTTTTCCAGAGCTTTTTTACAAGCAGCTTTTGAGCGAGTACGTCGTTCACACTGAGCTATTTTACTAGCTGCGTGTAAAAAAGCCGGCGTGTAGCTTGTAAACTCGCCCCGTGTGAACGGGGCTAAACTGAGATTTTAAAAAAAAATTAGGCCTACTTTCTTGGCTTCATACAGCTGGTTGCAGCTGTTTCATTCCCTATTAAAACGTTGTGTGGACATGGAGGCCATTAAATGAGTGTTATCCACATTTTTTGCTCTCATTTCCTTAATTTAATACTCTATGATTACTGTCAGATAAAATAAAATCGCTAGATGCAGACGACGTTTAAACGTTACCGGTGACAAGAGAAGCTATTGACTGATTGCAAGTGATTGACAGGGAAATTAGTAATCAACTTAGTTTCTTTATTATATTGATGGTGTTTCAACTTGGGTTTTAATTGAAACCAACAATAATGAGAAAGCTGGTCCATCAACCTTTGTTTCAGCTGTTGATTGTGGTTTATCATCACAAGCCCTTCCTTGGTTAGATTACGAATGTTTTAAAGGTTTACTAAATTAACAAAGAGGAAATTTACCTGATGAGATTTAATATATGCCTAGGCTAGGCCTACATGATAACTGTAACGAAAAAATCTCCATATCCATGAAACTTACATTGAAAAAATAGCGTAGTTTGCTCCTGCTTACAGCTCTTGTATAGGACTATTCCTAGGCTAGCTATGGTTTAAGACGAATACCAAGTTCCAAGTTCAATTATTAGGAATAATATAATATCTGTTTAGTTTAGTCTTAGCAAGAACAAGCCTACTATAGCCAACTTGTTACATGGCCAAGTAGGCCTACATGTTATTTTTACTTTACAAATTTCAACATGTTTAAATTAAAAGCCGATTTCAGTATAGGTTGCTGAATACTGTTTTCTGTACCAACTAGGTTGAAGCACAATTTGCCCTAAGCATAATGACAATAAAGGACGATTTATTGGCATTGAAAAGTGTTACTCATAGAACAAGTAACTCATCACTATGGTTAAAAGTTGTAGCAATGTCGTTTTTAACATTAAAAGTAAAAGCAATAAACTCCAATTTCAGTAGGCAAGGCTCTGTAACACAAAAAAGTATGTTTAAATAATCGTTTTACAGTTTTATTGGTCTTAATTGTTGATATAAGACATCTATAAATGAATCTATAATAAAGAAATAAAATGAGCTTTTAAAATATAGTTTGGTTGTATGTCCTTTGAACTTAATGAAATTTACATTTAAGATGCTTAAAAATACAGTAATGCAATATTTAAAAATAAGTACTAAATATGATGGGGCACCCAACTATTTGGTTCTTTTGTTATAATGTTAGGTTTATAATGCCAACAAATTAAATACAATCTAGGAATAATTTGTTTTCCGAGTAATGTTAGATACAATACTGACATTTTTTTTGTTCAATAAAAATGTAGTTGCAATTAATTTTACATTTACCTAACGTGCGTGGAATAAAAAGTAACGTCTTTGGAAAAGTAGCTAAAATTGTAGCTGTAGCTACTTTTCATTGTAGCTGTAGTTGTAGCTAGCTACTTTTTTGGAACTGTAGCTGTAGCTGTAGCTAAGCTACTTTTTTGGAAATGTAGCAGTAGTTGTAGCTAGCTACATTTTAAAAGTAGCTTCCCCAACACTGAAAACATGTGAGTTTGATAAGTTGGTGGTTCACTCGGTAGCATGACGGAATATAGCATCAGCAACATGGTACATCCTGGTGCTCACCACTAAATTTTATGAGTACAGTTTACTCTTGTACTATAGGTACAGTCATACCTCTTGCTTTTTGGGATATGTCCTATTCCCAGTCCCAAGTCTCATGTGGATGGCCAAATGCAAGGTTAAATTAGGTGCCAACCTCTTTAAAAAACGACATTTTTATGTTAGTAATGTTACAGCTATTTGAGTAAAGTATACTTGTAATGCAATACAAGCCACTAGTGTTAAAACGGGGTACTGTATTTTGAATTTGATTCGTATTTTTTATTTTTATTTATTAAAAAGAAACTTCACCTCCTCAAACTCAATATGTTGACTCCTTCAATATGTTGTTCCTTTTCTGAAGTAACGTTTACATATTCTCTTTTAACCTCTAATCATTCAAAGGAATTTGGGGATATTAGTTGTTAAAACATTCAACTTACAAGTGAGCTTTTAGTTTACTTATTGACAAAATACTCTCACTTCCAGATGCTACAAGATAGAGAAAGACTGGGAGGTCCAGCAGCCTCAGTGATTGTCGTCATCGCTCCTGGGACATCAGAACACACCCCTGAACTGGAGATGGCCGTCGACGACGCCAACGCTGCCAACATACGCATCGCTACAATCACATACCCTGCACAGCTGCGGTCCCGACCCTTGGACTGGCTAGCTAATGCCACTGACGGAGTAGCTTACACAGTCAATGAGAGCAGATACAACATGGCTACTTCATTCCTCTCCACATACTTCAGACTGACCACCGTCATGTGGAACCTCATGGAGACGTACTACCAGGGAGACTCAGCTGACTTGCCCATCGAGGTAAGTTTTATGATATTTTTGAACATCTTCTATATGTTATCATGAAGAAGTTAATCTATAATCTCTTGAATTACCGTACTATAAAGCTTGATTTCTTTATTACAAAGCTAATAAATTATGAGCTAATTGTGACAAAGACCTCTTTCCAGTTTAACTACCTTTTACTAAACAATTGCTTCTCCTCACATTTTCAGTACCTATATTAGCTGATGAGATAAATAACATTTTCTTCTGTTATAATTACAAGAGGGAATTTGAACTATTAACAAAACTTATTTTATGTCTCAAACAAACTTGTTTGACAATTTAAAAAAAAACAAGTGCTGGTATTTCATTGTTTTGACTTGTAAACCGTCTCCATTGCAGATCCACCGCAGAGAGCTGTTGGATGATGGCCGCAACAGTGTCACTGGCAGCTTCGTGTTGGAGGAGTGGCTAGGAGAGCCTGCCAAGTTCTTCATCTACACTCACAACACTGAGAACCCTCTGATCAGAGGAATCACATTGACCAGTCCATCACACAGAGTGTACAACACTCGGTCTGATTCTCTACTGTCTCTCAAACTGCTCTCTCTGCCTGCCAACATCAATGAGGTTAGTCAAAGTAACTATCAAAGTAAATTAAGGAGTTGGAGGGAATCACGTTGGCAAAATACTATTTGATCTTAAATTTCTATGTGTCATTCTTTCAATTGACCTTACAAACTAACAAATCTTCAATTTTAAAGAAGAATGAAGACTTCCAAGATAGTTCTCTCAAGTGTTAAGCTCGTTATCTACTGGTTTGAACCGAGTTGTTGAGCTTCAAGCTGTCATTTTTAAATGTAATTACAAAACCCAGCTCAAGAACACTGTTTGACCCAAAAGACAACAAGCAAACGTCCTTAATTTTACCAAATGTGAACTGCTGAACGTCGTAATAAAGCCTCTATAATATTTATGTTGTAACATCTAAGTTTGAATAGAAAGATTTGACTACATGGTTGACTGATGTGTTTACAGACGGGCACGTGGACATACACCATAGAGAGGTTCCCAGGCTCGCCTCAGCCTCACTATGTCCAAGTGATGGCCACCCCGTGGAGCAGGACAGCAGCTGTAGTCAGGGCCAGGATGTGGACCAGTCAGACCAACAACCCCTTCGTATTGTACACCGAGGTCAGTTGTACAAACACTCAGATTGTGTAGTTAACAAATTGTGTATAAATTAATAGTTTTAAATTACATTCATTTTAGAGGCTTTAGTACCACTAAACGGTATTTAATACTCTCCCTTAACTCAGATTATTTGTAAAACAGTGTAGATTTCTGTTGTGTTACCTGAATGGGAAATATTGCTGACACAATAAAAACCTGACACCATGTTTTTTACCAATTATGTAGATTTTGTTACAGAATAAACTCTTTTTTGGAAAATAAGCTTGCAATCCCAACAAAAATTCTTAAAACCTAAATGTGCTTTTGCCGTATGTTACATCATTGACGGAATACAGTGAAGTAGATTCTTAACTAATTAGGATCAGAGATGGTTTGGATCCCCTGGACACCACAATTATTTTCATTTTACAGCTTTGAAATCGGCACATCCCGTCTTACCATTATAAAGAAAGTTCATGAGTATGATTTTGACTGGTATGATAAAATCACGAACAATATATAATCTCTACAACCACAATTATCAGAAAATAAAAAAAAACCGTAATTGTTTTTGAGTGACCAACTATTTACTAAGACTAAACATTATATTAATATTGATTCAAACTGTAGAAAATAGAAAAAAAATATTGCATGTTTATCTTTGCTTTGACTTTAATGTTGAGCTATACCTAAATGAGTGATTTACTTTTTGAATGTATAAAATAATAGTTATCTGTAATTGCAGGTAAAGCGAGGGGACTGGCCAGTGCTGGGTGCCCGAGTAGAGGTGACTGTCACTCGGCCAGAGACAAACGGTTCTGGCATTCACCGAGAGAAGTTTGAATTGCTTGACACTGGCAGTGGAGGTTAGTATTTCACCTACTCTTCTAACTTAAGCCCATTAGTTTCATCCAAAAATCAATACCTATGAATAAACCCTACAATATTTTGTATGCTGAATCTTAAAAATGTAAATCGAAGAAATTATGTTATATGGTTTATTAATCATTATCCTTCTTCCGTTCCCTAAAGTATCTTTTCATGGCACTGTATCTAGAAATTAACAATTAAAATTGTAAAATAAAGCTGTTACAAAGTAGTAACGAATGTGGTTATCTCCAGATCCAGACTTGATGAAGGGAGATGGCATCTATTCCCGCTACTTCAGTCCCAGTGTTGGTGGTCCGGGGGTCTACACTTTCGAAGTTACTGTCACTGACAATGGCAACACTGCATACTCCTGGCAACACGAGATGAGGCATCACGGCCATCACCTTGAACTTTGTAAGTTATCAGTAAAACTTTGTACTATTTCCTTCTATATTTTTTTTATCCCATAATGAATTACATCACTGTCCCACTAAATTTAAATAACAATTCAGTTAGTTTTTTTTCAAATCTTTAAAAAAAAAGTATTATTTCTTGTAAAAATGATACAATTTATTTGAAACTAAATTAAAATCCATAAATGGGGATAGGTTCCAAATTTGTATAACCGTTAACACAAGTTTATTTATAAGGATTGTTGTGTAATGCAACTAATATGGATTGTAATAACTCAAGTTGTTTTTGGATAAACGTTTCGACATTTTGTTTCTGTTTACAGTATATGAGCATAATGTATTGTTATAAAATTGTATATAGTATAATCTAATAAACAAACTTTTGTTTACAGCACCAAACTGCTGTGGAAGCTTCATGCCATCACCGTCAGTTGAGCCCCTCTCTCCATTCCAGAGACTTCTGCCTCCGTTCACTGTGGAGTTTAGCAAGGATGTGGTTATGAACCCAGCTGTTGTTGGAAGAGTTGGAGACCTCAGAGCGGAGATTCTTCCTTCAGAACTAAAGGCACGACTTATCTGGACAGCTCCTGACATGGGAGGCACATCAGTCACTCGATATGAAGTCAAATACGCACTGACCATTGGTGAAATCCTCGACAGTTTTGACAGTGCAACATCGTGGACTCATGCCACACCTTTCCCTCTCGCACCAGGATCCGAAACATCCTTCACAATTGATCTGACTCGGAATCCTTCATTACTCGACCAAACTCTGTTTGTTGCCGTGAGAGGTTTCAAAGATCAATCCCCAGATGCCATTCCTGGGCCTGTTTCCAACTGGGTGAGAGTTTTAGTCCCCTCTCCCCCTCCACCCCCTCCTCCAGCCCCTACGTTTCCTTCGTCTCCCACAGAAGATTTCTGGCCTCAACCTGATGAAAGTGTTATTCCGAAAATAGCCGACCGTCTTGAATTCAACCTCGAGTTAATCTTACCTGTGTTCATTGGAGTTATTCTTCTCGCCCTATTCCTCACAATTTATTGTTACTTCTGCATTATTAGGCGTAAAAAACCAGAAAAATCAGCTCAAGCCAACTCACAACATCCAGAAAAACCCCTTAACGTATCTATTGTTCCAACAACACCGACGAGCAATGCAAACATTTCTATTTCTTCTCCAATAATGGGTTCTCCTACAAGATCAGAACCCGACACACGAACTATGTCTCCTCAGTTCGAACCTTGCTTGATCGATCAAGATGAAGCCAAAAAGAGATACAGCGTGGCACAATACAACGACAGTCATATGATGAGTAGAGAAGGAATCATTCCCAACTCTAACGGACACTTAAGTGTCATTAGCGCTAACCACGCAAACCACCACCAGAACGGAAATGGAACTCTGGTACGAGGCCGTACTCTTAGTCCTTACCAATCCTGGACTGCTTCACAACTGCTGCACGAACACGAAAGACGACACAGTCCGTACGGACAAGTCGGAGAAGAATACTTACAGCAAGACCAGCAATACGCTCCTCCAGTCCCTCCCTTGCCCTCGTACAACCAACAAGAGATCTACGGCAACAACCCCCACCATCAGCAACAGCAGCAGGTGCCACCCCCCGGCCAGTTCATCAACGGCTACCACAGAAACGGCAACCTGATGTTGTTCAACCCCAGTCTACAAGGGTCCCTGAGCTCTGTCAGCAGTGGTGACCGCAAGAAACGCAATGTCACCATGGTCTAGAGCCAAGCTCAAACTGTCTTAGATGCCAATAGTTAATATTTTTTCTGGAAACCAAATATTGGTTGTGCTTTGTAAATGTTTTTACCTGTGTAATATACTTGTAAATATTTTTCAATGTTTGCTTTCCAGTGAAAATATTTCTAAAAGAATGATGCTTTAATTAATTTTGTCCATTTTATTTTTACATGAATGCCTTTTTAGGGCTTTAAAGTTATTTTGTAAACTACTCAATATTACATTAGTGGTTGGAAAATAAATATACATAGAAATGAATTTCTATCAGTATAAATACTTTGTTAGTAAGAAAATGCAAAAGTGTTACTGTATTTGATTTATTTAAGCAATGTATTAGAATAAATTTATCTAAGCCATACTTTTGGCTTGGCATCTAAGACTTTATTTACCCATAAAGACTGATTACAAGAATTGATAGTATTTAACTGCTCATCATTCCTCACATGGGCATTTAATTCAATTAATTTTGATACTGATAGGTGCAGATGGTCGAAGCTGTTCTAGTCATTGATGCATGCATTGTGGACACTAAAAGAAAAAAAATCTGTGATAAAAAAGAGCAAAACTTCCGTGCACTTCACTGAAGTTAACAACCCTGCCTGACCTAGTAGATAATATTCCCGATATGAAAATTTTTGTCCCCTAATTATTTTTCCCTAAATGAAACCTCTAAAAGAGCTCAGAAATTAATTCACGGTAGTGGTTGGGTTATTTGCCTTAAAACATAAATATATTTTCCACAAATTATTTTTTATGAAAGAGAAATACAAATATGACTTTTAGTTTTATGAAATTATAATATGTATTGAAGTGAATTGAAATGAATACACTTGGTTGTACTAAATATTCTTTTTATTTAAATTATTTTGTTCTAAATACAGTTGTGCTATATGTTAATCAAGGAGCAAAAGGGAAGCCAAAATGCATGATCGGTTTTTGGAAGAAATACCTAACTGATATTCTGTACATCAGTGTAAATATTTTTTTAACATAAGAAATAAAATTGATCTCTTGTTGAATCTACCTTGTAAGTTAGTCCAGGAGAGCCCTGAAGAGCCATTTACTTGTTATACGATGTATTGACCATTACCGTTATTATAAAGTATTTTAAGTGTAAATTCAGGTGTCCTCTCGGTGTATTGTAGCATCTCCACCATTGTACTTGTACATTATAGCAATATGGCGTTAAGTTAGACAATCGATTGTGTCTTTTATTTTGCCATGTTTCGTCAAATGGTTTTACATTTGGTATTTTTTTTTTGCATGTAGATAATGTATATATACTTATGTACTTGAACGTATCATGTGAATAATGTGTGTAAATATATTTTAATTATCTTGAACTGCTGTGGTCATTTTAAACCTATTGCTGAATGTTTTTGATTAAGGTTTACCTAATTATGATAATACTGTAATAGCGAGACAAAGTTACTTAATACTAAATGCTTACAGAATTGTCTGGTTATCTAAGTATAGTTTAGTTAGTAAAGAGCTGCCTTCAAATCTAAAGATCGTTGGTTCTATTCCATGCAATATCGATTCTGGAGCCAGATACAATTCCTCATTGTATCAATGATACTATTTGACAAAGGTTGACATTGGATGGTCAAAAGACCAGGGTTTGAATTTGTCTTTTGTAAGATGTGTAAAACCCCTCTGATAAACTGAAAATGATTATTATTACACATTGCTAATTGCTAGCAATTTAAATAATGAACTTCTTATAATTCTATAATACAATTTATCCCTTCCATTAGAAACCAAATTCAAAGATTTATGGAATCTGCTACCAGCTAGTCTTGTCTTACTCACTAAAACAATCAAATAAGTTGAAGTAAGTTAATATTCATTCACTAAAGATGAAAAGTAAGCAAGGTAGCCTATCTCTGGCTCTTTGGAGTTGCAGATAATTTACAATTCCAAATCAACTTCAATTAATACTTTTCAATTCTGTGTTATAAGTTTATTTTCATGGGATGAAAACAGTGTTGTTATTAACTCTGTCACGTTGAATTAAAAACTGCATCAATGATAAACATGTCAAAACACAAACTAATTGGAAGGTAATATTACATACGGTGGTTGTTTCCACGATTAAGTATGATATTAAATAACAGGTACTCAATATCTATCCTAGTCTGATTTCCAAAGCTATTCGAGGACCAACTGATAAGTAGTGCAGATTGCTATGCAGTCAGAGTACCGTACTCACCATTGAAGGTTGCTGTTTCAAAAGACTTTGTCAGTAACTTTTTGTTGGTCTAACTAACCCAGCTACACATTGGAACATACACATTGGCCCTTCTTAGCTGATAAATGGTCCCAACTGAAGGCCAGTCGCCAGATTTTTAATCAAAATTGTCGTTGATGTGAGCCACAGACAGATTGCGCTGATCTAAATTACTAGTTTCTGTCGAATACAAGATTTTTTTTACCAAGTCAAACAAATGAAATCACTTATTGTGATCTATAGCAACTGTTATGTCCCACCAACTTGGTCAGCAACAAAAAATAAGGTAGAAAACAGAATGTTAGACACTAGCGCATTCTGTGACTGGCTCACACAACTAGGTTCTTTTTTAATAAAAAATTGGTGACTCGACAGCTGGTCCATATAGATGGGATGTCTACTTCAGTATCCAATAGTCAATGGTTACAATTTTAGTCACAGTATGCATTATGAATAAAGAATTTCAACAGCCATCATTCTCCCTCCAGAATATCACTTAAATTAATGAAACTTCCATTGAAATATAGTTGAGTTTGCAGGATGCAGTACAAGTAACCTCGAGTGTATCTATCCATAGAAGTAGACAGTTAAATAGTATTTTGCACCTAGGTCTTAACATAATTCCCTATCAAGAGATAAAAAAAACCAATCAAACTAAGCAACAATTATCTAATTACTATCAAAGCTTTTTAAACGTCTGTTTGAATAGGATTTTTTTATTTAGAGAAATGTCTGGTAGCTGCAATTTGAAGTGTTTAAAGCTGTGTTGAAAGAACTTTATAAATATTTCATAAAGAAAACAGAGCGGCTCTTCCCTGTCTAAATAATAAACTAGAGCTTCTCGCTTTGAAACTGCTCAATGGGCCATACATTTTTTATGTACTTCATATTGTGTTTTGGCACACGTATGAATAAGTCTGCTTCTTTCAATGCAGATCCATCCTCCAGAAAATTATCAATCCCTTTCCTGGACAATTTATATTTTTTTTCTTTTAGTTGATCTAAACGTTTAAACATTTAATATAAGATATATTGATTTATACTCGCATTGAAACATTTAAATAGGGTTTTTGAGTCAAATTGATGAACCCAAAGTTAAACACAATTAATTGTAAATACTGTACCATAAAATTTACTTTTCTTTTGTTATTTATTAATACTAAAGATTTTATTCTTTAAAAACTATGTATATAAAACGTTACCCAGCCTCATTGGAGCAACCTCTCGATAAGTAATTTATCATGTTTTTTTTTATGTTTTGCTTTGCATTTTGTTTTTTTCTTGTTTTTTTTTTCTTGATTATACTTGTGTATTTTGTACATATTATCATAGATAAAAGGAGTATAGACTCTCTATACTGTCTATACTCCTTTTATCTATGATATTATGTTTAGACTACTATAAAATTCATCGTATATTTCTAGGTGATTTAGGCTACCCAACTTCTACTGGTTTGTGTAAAGCTGTATGTTATTGATACTATCTCACTTGAGGATCAGATCCCATAAACCAAAGGGCCAATGAAATTATGATAATTTCTGGTAAATGTGATTAAAAATGTCTGCAATAATTGATTAGATTAGGTACAAAAACTTGCAATCACCAATAATAAGTTTCTAATGAAAAACTAAGTTTAATAAAACTTATTTTTGGAAACCTCATAAAATGTTACTATAGATAATAATTGTCAACATTTTAGTAGCCTTTGAATTGAAAAAACAATCACTGTACCAGGTGTTACTACACTGTACCTCCTCATTGCTGCCATAGAAACGGATAAACACATGGTTGTCAAACTCGACCTACTGTGATCATGATGGAGGAAAACAAATACATCACTTCTTAACATTTATAAATTATAGGACAAAGTGAATTATTGAAAGTGTAAGAACTTAACATAACCAATTTGGTTTCAAAGCATTAAATAGTTGCAGGTAGTGTGAGCTGGTAAAATAATGGATGATTTAAAAGATAAAAGTATCCATCTAACAGTGGAAAAACTTTCTGAGGAGATTCAAAACATGAAAATATACAAGGACTTTTATACCGATTTACAGGTAGGTACCTTTTAGTGAAACCAACTTGGACTGTTTTAAATATTCTGTACTATTATTTGGTAGGATACATATACAACACTTGGTGTATGGCTTTTAAATATTAGTGGACTAGAGTGGTGTTTTCCAAAACACATTATCTCATATACTGTAGTATCCCTGACATACACAGTCAATATTTTAGTTAGTTTTAGCTGAAACGTTGATCCAAATTAAATTTTGTAATTAATTTAAGGAAACTAATACACAAGTTAAGAAAAATGTCTATATGCCACTTTAATACAAGCCTTCTGCTGGTGTAGTTGGCCTAATACCACCCTAATAAATATTGGTAAACTGAGGAAAGTGGATATAACTTTGGTAGCCTACCTATTTCACTTTGTGACCTTATTTTGTTATTATAGATTTCATTATTCTCAACAACTATATAGTATTGTAAGAGGTATTTTAGTACTCAAGTACATTGTATAATCAATAGGCTTATTTAAAACAAGAACCATCCTAGTGTTTAAGTAAAATTCTCATTAACTTTGTTGGATTGATAACTAGCTCCCAATTCCAGTTTAAACGTTTGTGATAGAATATTGAGTGTGCTTCTGTGACGCTTTTGCTTATCTGTTTTATTAAGTGTATGCAAGAGTGTGTGTTTTACTTCACAGGAGTGCCCTGCTTACAATTTCTCTTAATTGATTAGAAATGTATTTTATAGTGTATAGTAAACTCCTTATCCGGACTCCTCAGGACGAGGGCAGTCCGGATAACAGTTTTTCCGGTTAAACCGACGTCCCCCTTTGGTACAAATCTTAACAACAACCTCGATTCAGAGTTCGTTCATACAGTACGAGACGGGCAACCACTACATGCCATGGTATCTTTCGTAAGCTAACCCAAATGTTTGACTTAATCTTGGGAGACCATTGTATTTAGACATGTGATCACTGGTCTCAAATCTTTCCCATGAGAAAAAATCTCCCAACCGACTACTTCCAGTCCGATTAAAAAGTGTCTGGATAAGAGAGAGCATAGCCCTACCTAGCTATACTTTCTCCCTCCATAGGCTACATAGTCTATGAAAGAAAGAATTGTTTTTGTCAAATTTTTTGAGTTTGAGTTTTTGATGGATATATCCGTTTTGGGTCCACCTGAACCCAAAAGAGTAGTTTTCAAACTGATGTCTTGTGTGTGTGTTGGTGTGTACGTGTGTGGATGTGCACTGAGCTACAGACTACACTTGTGGTTTAGGGAGACCAAAACAGAAACTTGGATACTTGTCTTCTTTATCTTTGACCGAGAATTCGGATGGATAGCATCTAAATTATGTACATTCATAAAACAACAAAACCAACATTTACACATAAAAAAAAACTAACTAAGGCTTTGTGGCAGAAATTTTACATTTCCCTCTCAACCTAGCATGAAAGGTTCCTCTTAGCTCCTGTACATTCTAGAGTCTTTGCAAAAAAGGGTTGCACAGTGCTGTTAGATCTAGGTCTCTGACTCTTTTTGGCAAGGTGTTACAGATCATTATAGCAGAGTGTAGTTAGCTCTGCATTAGACGGAGATGGCAACGAGACATGTCCGTTTAGGTGACCGCGATCTTTTCACCCGGCAAAACTCTCAACCTCAAAAATGTTGACAAAACAATACTTTCTCCATAAGGGAGGGAAAATAAAATCATGAAGAAAATAATCTAATCCATCACTATGGGATGCTGAAAGTGCAATGTTCTAAAGTTGCAATATCAATATGATAAAATTAAGCTTTAATAGCACTAAATATGTCTTATTAAGTTATTAGTAAGTTTGTTTACTTCTAAGTTGTGTTAATGTTTGATAGAACTTTTATGTTTACAGTTTTTAATAACAATGTTATATACAAAACTTAAGTCGTTTCCACTTGTAAATGATTCCCTTCCTAAATCATTAACACCTTATTATTCACCAACGACTAAAGTCAAAAAACTCACCCACTAAAAATCCAGACCAGTTTTCTGACTGTATACTACAAGTATTGAGGGCTTCTTTGGGGAGATGTTGAAGGGAAATAACTAAAAGATCCTGGAAGGACAATGGTTATGGTTAAACTCTTAATTTTTTCCATCTATAAAAAGCTAGTCCAGCTTGATTTATTTGATTAAAAGATTGCTTTATCTTGAATAGTTATGAATGAGTGATTGTTTCTACTTTGTTACATAAATAAAACAGAAGTTAGCAGCATCTCCAGCAGTCAAAGAGGATAACTTCAAAGACACTCTTTTGGAGGCCATGAAGGAGTCTGGGATGGAGACAGAGTTGAGGAACACCGTGTTTCATTGGATGAGATCCCACAACAATCAGATGCAAGTAACTGCCAACTCCTTCAAAGAACCTCTGGCATACCTAAGGAAATCCCAGGTGATTGAACATTTAAATACAGTAAGATGTCTCGTATCACTTCTTCAGTGAAGTACTTCTTACCATATACCGTAAAGCCAACTGTTTCCAAAACCAACCTCTGCATTTAAGCTAGCTTACCGCCTGGTCAGGGAATTCATTCATTAGCTTACTTCTTTATTGAGATATGTTCAATTTATCGCCCAAGTGTGTTAAGGGACTGCGAGTATTGTGTTTGCCTTAATGAAATGAGTGTTCTGCTTTCCTGGCCCTGTTTTAGCGAATTTCCCTATAGGGAAGTAGCTATTACCGTAGGTGGCACGGTAAGACCTAGACCCGGGACCGATTTACTTTTTCATTTTGATGTCCCCAGAGGCCAAAAACACAATTCGTTCAAATTTTTATATATGTATATATATATATATAGACATATATATATATACGTCCGTGAACGCGATAACTTGAGTAATTTTTGTCCGATTTTGATGAAATTTGGTTTAAAGGTGTAAAGCGGGATAAACTTGAATGAGTTCGCGAACCAGCACGATCGGACCATGGGAAGGGGGCTTTACGGGGGGTTTTATGGGGTAAAAATTGGTTTTTCTCACTTTTGACCCTCAAAACACAAAATTTCCCAATTTCTCTTTAGGCCTTTTTAAAGAGCTTAAAAAAACAAATAATTTAGTATATAAAAGTATTTTTGTTCAATTATTAGTAACGGAGAAAATTAAAAAAATTTTAAATTTTAAATTCCCATGTTATTCTTATGGAGAATATTGTCAAATGTTGTAGTTTGCTTGTTTATGAATATATTTTGATCAAACTTGGCAAATTTATTTATTTTGTACTAAGCTATCAATATTTTACTCAAAAACACACTTTATTAGTTTCCTTGTAGCAGCAAACCTAGGTACTCGTTAAACCTAATGTTATTAAAATATATTTAACTGAAAATCAATTCAGACAAATGGAAATTCGCTTAGTCGGCAGGTTTGCTGCGGCGGGGGTATTTAATATTATTGCTGTTGTCCATTCTCTTTTGCTAGGATGCTGTCTTTGCTAGGATGCTGTCTGTTTTCTTCTTCACATCGTCTGTGTCGTTTAACCTTATTTCTGTACCAATGTTGTAAGTACTTTTGTCCGCCTTGTTTTTTTATTGATTTATTATTTTTTTTATCTGTCAGAGATATCCCAAACAGTGTGTTTGTGTGATTTTAATCAAAATGATGACAATGACACTGTCTGAGTCCAAAAATGTGTAATAATCTTCCACACAAGAGAACAACCAGAATACACACAGCACACCGGACATTCACGAATATCAAATAAAGTGGGCCTTTATGAATATTGGCACTTTCCAGTCACTACTAGCTCAAAACAAGCACAAACAGGCACAGAAGTTAACCCTGAGAGTGAACATCTTCTCCAAACAAAGATGGGGAAGACTGGGTCTCTAACCCCTGACCTTTTTGTTCAAAGGCCCATCCACACTGCAGGATGGCGCACAATGTTCGGAAAAACTTCCTCAAACTGTTCGGGCAAATATTTTCACCGAATGTTTGTGCAGTGCGCTAGACCCATGGTGAAAAGTTAAATAAGGAGTAGTAAAATTCATTTTATAGTAGGGAGTAGAACTGTGATACAGGCCTACTTTCTCAATAGTGTGTCCACATATAAGATTTTGATCATTTAATGTATGATTTAGAACAAAATACTATTTTAAATAATTTAAAGTTAGAAACTGAACAATATAAATAGGTTAACATACCTACCTTACGTCGTCAATCCTAAAATAAGTCTATGGGGACTAGTTTCAAAACATCAGTGGTTTCATTGTCGAGCCTCTTGCCTCTTAAAATATTGGTGTTAAAAAACTCAGTTGCATCGTATTCGTCAACGCGGTACTTATGGCCGGCCGCGCATTCATTTATTTAAATAGTCTGTGTCCGTTTTTGTGTTTATATAATGTTAAATGTACTATTGTGTATTAAGGACGACAAGATGTCCCAATATTTTTAAGAGGCAAGAGGCTCGACAATGAAACCACTGATGTTTTGAAACTAGTCGCCATAGACTAATTTTAGGATCGACGAAGGTATGTTAACCTATTTATATTGTCAATAATCAATCCTCTGGAGGCAATGCAGTGGCGGATCCTGAGGGGGGGCGAAGAGGGTGACCGCCCCCCCCTCGGCCATACTTATATACTGTATATAGATTTTTACTGCATGAAATACAGTAGTGCATACACATTGCGTAACATAATTTGTCACACTAACTGTGGACAAACAAATGGTATAAAACTGCCATTTTGGAGACTTAGTTTACACACATTTTTCAGGGGGGGGGGACCCCCATACCCCCGGGTCCCCCCCTCGTGACTGTTCTAGATCCGCCAATGAGGCAATGATGAATAGAAACTGAAATTTGTTCTTGTAAAGATTGCAATAATCAATCATTTACTATTTCTATGTAAATAAATTAACAGCAGTGTACTTTCAGATGCAATGGGAGAAAAGAATTCACAAGTCATTAAACTCTATGTGTACTGAAATAGGAGTTTCTCTAGCTAGGTTTCGATCAGCTTCTGATAGAGATGAACTTGATGAAAAATGGAATGAGCTAAGCATTTATGATATAGGTAAGTCATGAAATTGATTCCATAAAAAATACCTCAAACTTTTTACCAGCAAATTTGAATTTTTATCTGATTATATTTTTACTCAAATATTTCCATAAACAATTTGTTGTTTGTTTGTTTTTTTTTTTTATTTACTCCGTAACCTTTAATCCTACAAATGCTTCAATACGCACATAGTGGCGTCCCCATCTTAAATAATTGATGTAAATAATAAAAATTGAAAATTTCCATGTTATTTATTTTTTTTACTTTATAAAACAACGTTCTTGTTTTTGTTACCCAATACAACCCAGCTGTGTGTATTACCTGTATTACTCAGTTTTGTGTATTGCTGATCCTCCCAACCCAATCAAGTTTGTCTAGCTCTACACACTCATGCCGAACTTTATCAGAATCTGGTTAAAATTGTTCGAGTAATCGTGTTCACGGACACATTGTATAGCCAAGTGGTTATAGTGCTCGTCTTCAAATCTGAAGGTCGCTGGTTCAATTCCAAGCAAGATCGTTTCCAGGCCCGGATGCCATTTGTCATTTGGCTATGAATTAATGATGCTATAACAAAAAGGCCAATGTTAGATAGCCTAGTAACAAGACCAGAGTTTGGGCCTTTCCCTTTTAAAACGTTTAAAATGTCATTGGTATGGAGAAAAAACAAAATATATGATTTGTGTATATTTATTTGATCAAATAGGTAGTTTTTGGCCTCAGGGTACATAATGTTTTTGGTAAAATATTAATAAAATTGGATTAAGTAAATAAATTAGCCAAATTTAATCAACATATATACAAAAAAAAACTACTACCGTTTTCTTATTCACATGATAATTTAGTTATCCGTCAGCGCAAATACTGATATGGGGGATATTAAAATTTATAGACAATTTTCTTAGGTTGCTTAAAATATAAAGGTTCCAAATTCTTGTGGAAATAACTCAGATTTTTCAGCAAAATCCCCTATTTTTGTTGCAGACTTGACTCCATACAGACCAGTGTATGCACCAAAAGATTTCCTTGAAGTTTTGCTTTGGATCAGAAGCCCAAATTACAGGCCAATTGAGTAAGTCATAGAAACCAATTTATTAAATTGTGTTAATTATTACTATTGTTCTTCACAGTCTTCCAACATGTTGCAGCAAGTAGGGCAGTATATTGCAAGTTTTCACTGCCGTCCCTATTGCACTGTAGCAGTTGAAAGTATAGGTCATGTTAATTTTAATATGCCATCGTAAACTTCCTGATATGAGAGAGTATTAGCAGACTACATATATTATAGTGTTGTGTGTAGCCTGGTACTCATGTAGTCAGGTGGTTATGTTATTTCTACTAGGACTGTCAGGAAATCCGAGGATTAGTTAAAGTTGTAAAAAAAATCTTCCGTGGGCTGCAATGATGACGACATCATCAGCGTCACCCGCGACCACAGCAAAATTGTGAATATCTCCCGTGGGCCGCAATCATGACAACATCATCATTGTCACCCACAATCGGGGCAAATTGATAACTAAATAAATATTTTTCCTGAAAAAAAGAAAGATTATTGTCAAACCATTGCGGCCCCCTTTTGCTTGTGGCCCTAGGCCATGGCCTAGTGACAAATCTGGCACTGAGCACATCACAACTGTCTAAAGACATTGCAGTAGCAACACTCCTGCTACATAAGTGTTGTGTTGGGCCCGTTCTTTCTCTTTACTGGATGATGTCCCTGAGTCTTGGTAACACGCTGGGATGAATTCTCTGAGTTTCATGATTCACAAGTTGATATTGTCTCTTCTCCGGCGCTCCATCTTGTTGTGAGAGGCTCTTCGTCTGTCGTCTCTAGGCCGACACTGAGGAGAAGAGGACATAGCCTTGGCAGATTCAAATTGGATGTCCACAATCTTGTGATATTCAGCCTTGGTTCTGTAGTGGAAACACTTCCTGTGGTAAGTCGATAAAAAACCACGGGCCATTGACAGAGTTGACTAGTGCTGTGGCGTGTATATACAGGCCCTGGGAGATGTTTCAGTTTGAACCATTTAGAAGGGATGATTTCTGGTACTCTGTCTATTTTACTTCCTCCGACTGGAAGAAAGGTCACACACCTTCGGCAGAACTTATCTGTAAGATCTCTTTCTCAATGTTATCTAGCAATTCTTTTAAGTATAGAATTGGAACCGTCAGGAGATAACGACTAATCCCCTTCAGCAATTCATAGCGACTGGGCTTCAACTAGGTCATTGTTAGGTATTTTAGATTGTTCCTCTTTGTCAACTCTGGTATCTAGTTGAAAGAAAGAAAAAAGTTAAAGCAGGTAACCACGCTCTGCTACCATGTCGTGAAATAAGTGGATTAGTTAAAGTTGTTAAAAAACCTGCTTTAATTTAAGTTTTAAGTTTTTTTTTACAAATATTTATTTACAATCTATTCTATACTAGAACAATAAATAAAATTTATGACCATTTAAACATGGGTTAGATACACTCCATCAAGTGCACTAACATACAAAAACTTTTAAAAAGATTAACTAAAAACGATTTGGAAGGTCTATTGGATTAACTCTTTTGAGCCTATATGTAGCTTCACATTGTCGAGGAGGTTAACTGCCAGGAAATTTGGATGGATTTCTAATTTTCTTTGATATTTTTCACTTCGTTTTTTTTATTTCTTCTCTAACATAGGGTAATTTTGTATCTTGATGAATAACTTTATTTGTGACAAACCAAGGTGCTTGTAAAATTTTTCTTAGTGTTTTAGATTGAAATCGTTGAACTATTTCTATGTTCGAGTTTGAAGTGGTTCCCCAGAGTTGGATACCGTAGGTCCAAATAGGTTTCAATATAATTTTGTATAAAAGTAATTTATTTTCAACAGATAATTTTGAATTTCGATTCGACCAATAAGCCAATTTAGTTTGTTGGTTTTTTAATTTAAATGGAGTTGTTTAATCCAAATGTGTGAATGCCATGTAAGCCGTCTGTCGAGATGCATACCAAGGTACTTAACTTCGTTGGATTGTGGAAGCATGACATTATTCAATGTTACTGGGGGGCAAGTTCTTGTAGACATAGTGAATGTAACTTGAACGGATTTTGTTTCATTTACTTTAATTTTCCAATTCTGTAGCCACTGAGACAAATCGTCTAATGCAGCCTGAAGGTTTGATGAAGCCAGAATAGGATCCTGATTTGAGATAAAAAAGCAGTGTCGTCTGCAAATGTTGCAAAAGTTTTAAGTTGATAACTTAAATAAATGAGAGTTTAAGTTAAGTTTTGTATTAATTTTTTTTCTTTCAAAGTTTACAATCGTTCCATATTTTCTTCGTAACCAAATAAACAAAACAAAATGCAAATCACAGCTGTCTAAGAAATTGCAGGAGGAAAAGGCCTACCTTTTCCCTCCATTGAGAAATTTTATCTAGCATCCACCCCCCTGCTCTGTGCCTGATGGTAAGAGATGACACAGCCAAATTTCAGGGTTTGAATTTTTTCAGTAAACTTATACATTGATTATTATTTATTTACTATAGTAAGATCATACATTTTTATTCAGTTTTCATAGGAAGTGCTACAACACATTTTTATAGACCAGAAGCAACATTGCAAAAACTGTACTTCAAGGGCTCCCGAAAAAATTTTCTCAGGGAGGGCAAAATGGTATCTCTTTCCAGGGGCCAAGAAAAAAACCATTCCCCATTTTTGTATTTTTAGAGTATTACGTTACATGCTTCAAAAAAATTACGATTATTAGGTATTAAACGAAACAGATTTATTTTGGAAACATTTAGCTGTCTAGAACCCATATCAAAGCTCAACTTTTTTAAACTTAGTGCTTTCTCTTGGGAAACCTATCAGGTCTGCCCCTGTGGCCCCAATGCAGTTTCCTTGGATATATTCTATGCAATATGGAAAAGAATCCAGTTTTGTAATCACATTGTCACATTAGTTTCCTAAATTTGATTATCACTTCTTTCAGTGCATGTTATGGCGGAGAAGGAAACTGGGACTTTACTCAAATTCCCTTGAAAGTGAAAACTCTAGCAGAATTGGTAAGTTTTTTTGTACTGTATTGTTATGATGGTTAGGTAGTTAAAATGTGCAAAATTTTTAAATTAAAAAAATGGTCCACAGAGACAGTTATATCAGCAGATATCAAGAGGGGAGCCATTGCTGGGAGTCAACCCTAATATGTGCTCTTCAAGCAGTCATTACCTGACATTAGATGCAGAACGGACTGCTCTTGGAGAAAAAGGTCAGTCATATGGTATCTCTAAACTCTGTTATTTGTGAAAAGCGATTATTGGATACTTTCTTAATTGCATACTTAACCGGACATCAGGCATGGTTACTGGCTGCTGCTTCAGGAGGATAACTCTAGCATGTAATTTATCAAATGTCATTGTGTGTTTGCTGTGTTGAGTACAGTCCTGGAGAGTAACTCTTTGTGTTACTTGGGCATGGTTACTGGCCAGTAACACAAAGAGTTCCTCAAGAGGGGGGCACCAAGCTGCTTCAGGAAGCTATTCTAGCATGTAATTTATCAAATGTCATTGAGTGAAAATTTAAAAACATACGTTTTTATGTCCCTGGCCTTTTACTTCGTAGATACTGGATTTGTAGTTTATTATTACGTGTTTTAATATTTTTTGGGACAGGGGCAACATGTTACACACATTTATTTGGTTTTAAATAGGTTCTAGGTATTTTTTTTGTATTTTTAAAGTCTCGAAATTCACGACCATGGCGTGTCCCTAGGGTACATTTTCCAACTTTCACGCTGTGTTTAGACTAATTATTCATGCCGAAATATATAAAGCCATATTTTTATGTCATCAATGGTTATTAAACTTACAAAAAAGGAGCATATTATAATTTTATTGTCATTAAACTGACTACCATGACAAAATAAGTCTGTCCCTCGATTTGGCGTCACGACCATTTGGGAAAAATTTACAACTTTGGAGCACGACAGTGGCAAGCCTGGCGTCGATGGAGTCAGTTGGTTTTAGAGACTAGTTCGGGGTGTACGTCAGGATTGTAGTGCCGGTCGTTTCGAGTTGAAAGGAGGAATTACAAGATTAATTAAGGAAAGATTGTGTTTTTTGTAATTTTGGTGTGTCCATGACCGTACGTAGTGATTCAATGAAGTAGACATGGTGTTAATTTTTGTTTATAAGATATTTCAATTGCTAGATTAACCTAGAAGTCCACTTTGTATCCTCGAACATGAGGTGCAGGGCTACCGCCAGAACAGAGCCAAATAACACGTAATTTCACGACCAAAGTTTCACGACCATCGCGGGGTTTTTCACGACCAATCCAGCCTTATGGATTATAGTGTGTTTGTTCGTGACAATAACTTTAATATAATTGTAAATTGAACAGTTTAGTTCAATTGAAAGACATATTTTTATTATAACTAACAGGATAATTGAAGGATTGTTTAGAAAGATTTAGATTATTCCAGACAATTCACGACCGTACCGCTTGTCCCTGACCATTACGTTTATGATCTCTATCATAAAAATTTCAAAAATTAAAATATCGTCGTATTTCAATGTTTTATACACAAAAAAAGCACACCTGTATACAAACATAACGATTTTTCGGGTCTCAGGTAAGTTTTTTCGGAGTTATACAAACTTAAAAAGATTTTATTGGCTTTTTTTCAATTTTTTTCTAGAAAGACCAAATATACCAAAAGCTCAGTGACCTTTTTATTGTATAATGGTCATAAAAGTAAATTAGTTTATAGCAAAACATAGTTATAAAAATAATATTAACTATTTTTAATATTCATTTAAACGTCCGTTATGGTCGTGACAGGATTTTGTGTTTTTCCACTAAAGATGCTCTTTTAAAAAGAAACTACCAAAGATATTGCGTTACCATGGACATTTTATGAAACTTCAAATGTTAATGAAATAAAAAAAATAATAAAAGTTTTGAAAAAAGGGAAAAAAATTTGCAAAGTGCTTTTCCTGAAAACGTATGTTTTTAAATTTTCACTCCATTGTGTGTTTGTTGTGTTGAGTACAGTCCTGGAGAGTAACTCTTTGTGTTACTTGGGCATCATTACTGGCCAGTGATACAAAGAGTTCCTCAAGAGGGGGCACCATGCTGCTTCAGGAAGCTACTCTAGCAAGTAATTTATCAATTGTCAATGTGTGTTTGTTGTGTTAAGTACAGTGCTGGCCAGTAACCATGCCCCAGTGGCACAAGAGTTCCTTAAGAAAGGTGTCACTCTGCCTCAGAGGGCTACTCTAGCGTGTTACAAGAGGTTAATTTGTGTTTTGAGTCCACTACTCTCGCAGGGTTGTGCTGCTCGTAACGCTCGATGTGCGAAATGCATTCAATTCGGCGAGGTGGTGCGATATGCTGGACGCTCTGGAGAACACCTTCCACGTGCCGGCATACCTCATGCGCATCATAGAGGATTATCTCCGGTTTCGCCTCCTAACGTATGACACTGCGGAGGGCCCGCGGACGATGAGTGTCACTTCTGGTGCTGCCCAAGGTTCCATACTCGGCCCAGACCTCTGGAACGTCGCTTATGACAGCCTTCTGAGGTCTGAAATGCCTGAGGAAACGGTCTTGGTTGGGTACGCAGACGACGTTGCAGCTTTGATAGCTGCACGTAGCGTTGAGCTGGCTCAGCTAAAGCTAAACCGAGTTATGCGTACCATAAACGCATGGATGGCAGACCACGGTCTCTCACTTGCTCTGAGCAAAACCGAGATCGTGATTTTGACAAAAAAACGGATTGACACCATCGTGCCGTTGAGGGTGGGAGCCGTCGAGGTTCAAACTGTTCGTTCTGCCAAGTATCTTGGGGTCATGGTAGACAGCAAGCTTAGCTGGCGGGATCAGATCTTCCAAACAGCGGACAAGGCCGCTAGGGTGGTTTCTTCTCTTAGCCGGTTGATGGCCAATGTCGGAGGGCCTCGGTCCAGTCGTAGAAGGCTGTTAATGTCTTCGGTCCAGTCCGTACTCTTGTACGGTGCGGAGGTGTGGGCAGACGCACTAAATAAGGAGGCATACAGGATGCGGCTCGCCCGAGTGCAGCGTCAGGCAGCACTGAGGGTAGCATCTGCCTACCGAACAGTGTCCGAGCCCGCCGTCGTCGTGATTGCTGGAGTCATCCCCGTCAAACTTTTGGCGGCGGAGAGAAAGGCAATTTACCGGCGCCGTGGGGAGGACGAGGCACGAACAGAGGAACGCACCCGCACCTACCAGCTGTGGCAGGAGGGCTGGGAACAGGAGACACGGGGACTCTGGACCAGGCGACTGATACAGCAAGTCCAACCTTGGGTTGATCGGCGGTACGGAGAGGTGGACTTTTACCTCACCCAATTTCTGACGGGACACGGCTTTTTCCGGTCGTACCTGTTCAGGATGGGCAAAGCCGTGTCTCCCAACTGCATATACTGCCCAGGCATTCTCGATGACGTGGAACATACATTTTTCCACTGCCAGCGCTGGGAAAGGCCCCGCCTGGAGGCTCAACAGTTAATAGGACTGCTGTCGGTGGACACGGTCATACCGATTATGACGGAGGGTGAGGACAATTGGACCTGTGTGTCACATTATATCCAGGGTATCCTCCGCGCCAAGAAGATCGACCTTGACCGGGATGCGGTGTAGGTCATAAAGAATCAAAATGCCAGAAATGGTGCGAGCCCTGAGGGCTTAGGTCACATGTTGGCCTGACTTGAAGTAATGTGACAAACAATTCCAGGTCTGTGTCCAACAGAGTAGAGGGGGTTTTTTAGTGAGTAGTCTGATAATTTCAGGAGTCTCACACTACAGGCTGGCTACCTGTGTGCGTAAAAGCATTTTCCCTCCTCTCCCTAAAAAAAAAAAAAAAAATTTGTGTTTTGAGTACAGTCCTCCCCAGTAACCGTACCCCAGTGGCACTTGAAAGGGGTACCAACCTGCCTCAGGAGGGCTACACTTTAGCTTATTATTTACCACACGTTAATGTTTGTTTGTTGTGTTGAGTACAATGCTGGCCAGTAACCAGGGCCGATTTACCGAATAGGCACGGTAGGCACGTGCCTAGGGCGCGAGGCAATTGGCTTTTTTGGGAGGGCGCCAAAAATTTGGAAATTAAAAAAAAAAATTCGTGGTAGTATTTGCATGATATCGCGGTAAACTTCAGATAACCACTCGCGGCCGTGTAGGCATCGTAATCGTCTCCCGCGTTTGCAGCAAGATTCTTACTATTTTCTGCAGTCCAGGTCGTTTGGACATAAAATTATCGTCTTCCATGATCGAGGCAATATAAGAACGTATCCCGCAGTCGTGAGGAGATTATTATCATCTACCGCAAATGAGGCAAAATTGTGATATTTTCCCGCGGTCGTGAGGACATTATCATCGTCTTCCGTGATCGCGGCAATATTCTGATCATCCCTCGTGGCCGTGTAGAAATAGTTATTATATCTCCCGCGGTCCTGTAGATATCGTACGTATCCCGCAGTCATGAATCCATGGTAATCGTCTCCAGCGATTGCGGCAAAATTTTAATCATGTCCTGCAGTTTTGTGGAGATCATCATCGTCTTCCACGATCGCGGCAAAGTTCTTGAGGTTTCCCGCGGTCGTGTAAACATCAATCGTCTTCCGTGATTGTGGTAATATTCTGATCATCCGTTGCGGCTCATCTGTAGATAGTAGATACCATCATCGTCTTCTGCGATCGCGGAAAATTCTGATCATCCCTCGCGGCCGTGTGTAGACATTTATTATTGTCTCCCGCGGTCACGGAAACGTCACTGTTGTCATGCGCGATCACGGAAACGTCACTGTTGTCATGAGCGATCACGGTAAATTGAAAACTCCAGGTAGGAATACAAAATTCACGGTTCAAAGATCTCCCGCATGATTCCCGGATTTCCCGGTCGATATACACCCTGTTATATACAGGGTGGCTGAAAAGTAACTTGCACCCACACTTAACTTTTCAACCATTTGAGATATTTGAAATCGGTTTGCGGCAACCTTCTTAGATATGACGGGCTACAATAATTATGTCAATTTTGAAAATTTTGCCCTTAGGGGTAGCGGGGGTAGGGGATAGCTAAAAATTTTCAAATAGCAAGTATAGTCGAGTTTGGTATCATTTTGTAGGTCTTGATGAAACATAACAATTAACATAAAGAAAATAGAAATCAGACCATTAAGAACAAAATGGCAGCTAAAAATGATTGAGGCAATGGTTATTCAAAGTAATTTTGCGCTGCCATTTTGTTATTAATGGTCCGATTTCTATTTTCTTTATGTTAATTGTTATGTTTCATCAAGACCTACAAAATGATACCAAACTCGACTATACTTGCTATTTGAAAATTTTGAGCTACTCCCTACCTCCGCTACCCCTAAGGGCAAAATTTTCAAAACTGACCGTGATTATTGTAGCCCTTCATTTCCAAACAAGTTGCCGCAAACCGATTTCAAATATCTCAAATAGTTAAAAAGTTAGGGAGGGTGCAAGTTAATTTGTTTGCCACCCTCATGGTTATTTGGATTTGAAACATTTTAGGGCGCCATTTTGTTATTAGTGAGCCGATTTTGGTTTTCTTTATGTTGATGTTCATGTTTCGTCAAGACCTGTAAAATGATACCAAACTTGACTATACTTGTCATTTGAAAATTTTGAGCTGCCTCTTACCCCCGCTACCCCTAAGGGCAAAATTTTCAAAATTGACCATAATTATTGTAGCCCCTCATATCTAAGAAAGTTGCCGCAAACCGATTTCAAATATCTCAAATGGTTGAAAAGTTAAGTGGGGGTGCAAGTTACTTTTCAGCCACCCTGTATATATTGCAAAGGGGCGCTACTATTAGACGTGCAAGGGCGCTGACAGGGTCAAAAACGGGCCTGCCAGTAACCATGCACAAGGGGGCACAAGAGATCCCGAAGAGAGATGTGGGACGCTGCCTCAGGGGATTACTCGTGTTACTTACCAGATGCTAAGCTAATGTATGTTTGTTGTGTTGAGTACAATGCTGGCCAGTAACTATGCACAAGGGGGCATAAGGGACCCCGAAGAGAGATGCGTGACACTGCCTTAGGGGATTCTGTTACTTAGGCTACCAGATGCTAATGTATGTTTGTTGTGTTGAGTACAGTGCTGGCCAGTAACCATGCACCAGTGGCACAAGAGTTCCTAAAGAGAGGGGCGCCACGCTGCCTACGGGGGCGACTCTGGGCTCAGGTCATGGGCTCTGACATTAAACCTGTGGTAAGTCACTGGATGGGAATATGTGCACAGGACAGTTTTATCAACATCAACAAAGCCTTAGGTTAGAAGCATTTTTATAGATTACTATATTACGCCACAAGGCCTTGAAGTAGACCTAGATATTTACGGTACGAGTATGATAGTATTTGTGTGAGTTCTTCAAACACTTTGTCAGACGAGTCACATACTTTTTGCTGCACTACTAGTAACAAATGTACAGGATAAGTACAACACTACCCACACACAATCACATTTTCTAAATGTACTGTACACTATTTCCAAAAAATATTGTAATTTTTTTAGTGAGGTGCTGGTTTTTATTAGCCTTTTTAATATTTACTGTGAAAATGCAATACCTATCCAAATATGTCTAATATTATTATGTGTATCTTAATTTGAGGCTTACTGAAGAAACTTTTGTTATCCCTTTTATAAAAATAGTTTGGTAAATTTGAAGTTTAGCTGATTTTATTGAATCAATCCCTTTCTGTGAACAAGGACTTTTTGGCCTACAAAGAGACAAGAAACCAACTGTTTTTTTGGGTAGTTGGCAAAAATTATTTTCCCTGCCACTGCTTGGAAATTATCACTTTGTCACACCTGTAAACAGTACACAAAATAGCTCATTTCTGCTCTAGAGCGGAGATTACTATTCCCATTCGCTAAATCAGTTATTTCACCTTTGTCGGTTCTAAAAAAAACTTTCTTAAGAAAAATAACATACCTAAAAAAAACAGCCTAAATGACATTTTATATGCAGCTAAAAAGTTAATCTATGTGTTATGATAGCTTACAGTTTTCATGTGGCAATGACGGAATTTGGGCTCATACACAATAGCTATCTTCCCTCTATACATAAAAATAGTTCATTTCTGTACAGATGAGCTTTAATAAAATTGTCAAAATATACATTTTACCTGCGTTAAACATTACTTTTCCTGCCCCAAACTAATAATGTGTCTGTTTAACTCAACAGGAGCACTATGTACCAGTATTCTTTTATTATTTTATTATCACTTTGCTGTGCGAGTATTCACATTTCTAGAGATTTCTAGCCGTCTAGCCAATAATATTGACATATTTATTTGTGTCTTCTTTATTGCTTTTCAGCACAGAGAATATTTTGCTGAGTTGAAACAGTCAGTATTACAATACGATCTCATGATTGACAAGCTCATAATCAAAGTAAGTAAACACTTAGTTTAAACTAGTAGGTAGGTTTATAAATTCTACAAACATATTACTCTTCAAACATTTCATGGCTAAGGAGGTTTGAGGTTATATAATTGTTGTTTGTTCTTAGGATGTTCAGCTGACAGCCTCCAATGATGATCAGTACTTTGTGTTTGAAGACATGCTTTATCAGGTAAGTAACATTAGCATCCAAATGCTACAGACATTTATGTCTAAATACTAGCTTTCAGCCTTAAAAAAAATTAAGTGAAATCTTTCTTACATCGTTTGCTTATACAAACAAGATGTTAACGACAGGTGTTGCTGTGTTTCTCGCGAGATACAGAGATCTTGTCGGTGTTCAACCACAGTTCCAGCAGTCCGATCCATGGCATCCTCAAGTCTAAGCCTGCGACTATTGATAACACCGTCGTCTACCCTCCCAGCGGTGTCATCCCCTTCCATGGCTTCACTATGTATGGTAAGCTAAGCATAGGAAACAGCAACATAGGAAAGGCAGACTTTGAAAATCAAATTGGAGTAATGTATTTTATCACTGTAATTAGCGAGGCATCATGAATTGTCCGTCACGGCACAGGTAGATGGACCAGCTTGGCCTGAGTCATTGTGTGGCAACCACTGACCTTAAAAATAATTGTTAACTATTTTAAGAAATAAGTTTAATTTTTACAATTTTTGATCATAGATAACAGAAATTTACATAACGTAAAAACCAATTTCAGCCCAAGTCTAAATAGCCTTTCAACTTCAAGAAAAAAATTGGTAATCTGAAACGGCCTTGCCCTCTTAATTTCAATTAATCATTGTTTAATGGTAATCCAATTTGTGTTTGATTTCAGCAACTGCATTTTGCTACCTATATGACGACCCGTGTGCATTGTACTTCACATTTAGAGCGTTCTATTTGCGCTACTGGTTTCGCCTGCATGAGGTCAGCTCCCATGAACAAGGAATCCTCTCGCTATGTCTCTTGTTTGAGAGACTCTTGCAGCGTCATGAGACTCAGCTCTGGGTTCATTTCAAGCTCATCAATGTCCAACCGTCAGTATACATTTGAATTTGAAAATCTCTGACTTAATATAGAATAGTATTTCATGGTAAAGACTATTTTGTGAACAGACTATAGCTGTCAATTTGGAGTTGTTGTTAGTGACCTTATACCGTCTTTATCAGCTTCATATACATAAGCTACCATAGTAAACGTTGAGTCGTCACCACCACCTTCAGTTGAAAGGTAAACAGATAATTTTACAAGTTTAATTTTCTAACAGCTTAAGATTCATGATTAATAAATTTGCACATACATTACTTTGTATGAATATAATACAACCAACAGTGTCATTTGTATTCCTCAGACTTCTTAGTCGTTTAAATTTAAAAAATATGTAAAATTAAAACAGTCTTAATATTACTAGAGTTAAGTGACTAGTTCTTGATTTAGGTGAAATGTGAGTGGCATAAGTTTTTGTTATATTCGGTGTTGTCTAGTATCCGAGTGGTGTTTAAGTGGCTAATGAGAGCGTTCAGTGGTCATCTACCCCCTGAACAGCTACTGTACCTGTGGGACACCATCATAGCCTACGACTCACTACAGGTCATCCCTCTACTAGCTGTCTGCATCCTCAGCTTCAGGAGGGAGAACTTGCTGCAGGTTGACACACTGCAGAATGTCGAGGTAAACTCAGCTATAGTGCTGTATACATGGGTTGTCTCTAAATTAAGGTCTTCAACAAGTTTTGGTTTTATCCATAAACTCTGAGTTTTTGACTTTACTCATAACTATTATAACTAGTTGCAAATCTTCATTGTGGATTAAAATTCATTGTTGTAGCCCCGAAACTGTAATATATATTAATTTGTTTTACATTACCTTTTATCAGTTCCAAAAAGTATAACATTCATTAAAGTATTACATGTTTCAGCGAGCTGCCATTGTTAAACACGTCATTCCAGTAATATACATTAATTCTGCTTAAATAGTTTTGTGTTTGTTATCAATACCTGACAAACACGTTTAACACACAACATATAAATAAATACTTTTAGTTTGATAGGCCTATCACCAGTTAGCAACATTGCGGCACACGAGCGGGAACAGACTCAGCAGGTAAGGTAAACAGCCCAAACTCCGAACAGTTAGAGGAGGTTAGGTCATTCTATTGTATTTTTATCCTATTTGGTTAGATCCAGGCTTGATTAATTGTTTTACAAGAATTCATTATGAACGAATATTCAATTTTATGTCTCAAACAACAAGTATCTCTTTGCAAATATTGTAAAATAACTCAATACAAGTACCGAACGTTTAAACCATGAATAGCCCAATACCGAACGGCGTACGTCCCAACTTCGAACGCTGGCTTCCCAAATCCGAACGAGTCTGGTCTCCACTCTAAACACTGGATTCTTTAAATTGAACCACTTTGTATTTAAGTTTTTAATGCCGTTGGTATAAAAAGTAACATACCTGATGACGACATAAGCAGTAAGCGACGAAATAACTCGCAGTTGCAAACTACTAACTACTACGGCCACCAAGATTTTGCTTAACAGCAGTTATTTAAACCTTTTAAGTTCCCAATCATTTGGGACGATTAGTCTCGTCATAGTTGCTGATAACAATGGAAGTGAAAAGCTATGCTCCCGCAAAGTATGAATCCTTTTCTAGGATTAGGATTCTGTGGAAAGGGGTCAACCCCAAGTGAAACGGGTTGCAACATGTCAGATTTTTAGAGTGTATACAGAATACCGCCGCCACAGCAAACCTGCAGACTTAGCGAATTTCCATTTACCTGATTGGATTTACACTAAAATGTCTCCTTTAAAATATCACATTTATTCCCTATTTAAATAGAATTAATTTAACGAGTACTTAGGTTTGATGCAACAGGGAGGGTAAGAAAGTGTTTTAGGTACTGTAGTTTAGTAAGAAATGAATGTATTTTCCAAATTTGATCAAAATATGTTCATAAACAAGCAAACTACAACAGTTGACTTATTCTCCATAAGAATAACATGGGAATTTTAAAATTACAATTTTTTTGAATTTTCTCCGTAACCATTAGGCGATAATAACACTTCAATATACTAAATTATTTGTTTTTTTAAGCTCTACAAAATGGTTTAGGAAGAAATTGTGAAATTCCTTGTTTTTAGGGTCAAAAATGGGAAAAACCTATTTTTACCCTATAAAACCCCCGTTCTCATAGTCCAATCATGCTGGTTCGCGAACTCATTCAAGTTTATCCTGCTTTAAACCTTTAAACCAAATTTCATCAAAATCGGACAAAAATAACTCAAGTTATCGCGTTCACGGACACATATATATATAAATCTATATACATATATAAAAATTTGAACGAATGGTGTTTTTGGCCTCTGGGGACAACAAAATGAAAAAGTAAATCGGTCCCGGGCCTAGGTCTTACTATGCCACCTACGGTAATAGCTACTTCCCTATAGGGAAATTCGCTAAAAAGGGTTAAATTGTACAAAATTTCATGGTGGCTAGGGAGTTTGTAGAATGCTGTACGATGTGCACCAGAGGCTGGCAACGGGAGTTGATAAGTTTCTATTGAAACTGTGATTGGAGTTTAGGAAAGTTGTGTGTGCTGATGGGAGTGTTAAAGACTACTGAGGCTTACCGTTTTACTCGGTAGTCCTATATAGATATCCTATATAGTAGGGATGGACGAGATTGGATTTTTAGTTTGAGACGAGACGAGACGAGATTTTTTATTTCTCATAAAATTTGAGACGGGATTTCCCTTCTCATACACAACGGGAAATGCACGTTCAAAATTTTTACCTAATTTTGTAACATTGTTTGATGACTGTTTAAATACAAAAATAATGATAATAGGCAAGAATATTTACAATCTGTTATTAAAAAACATCAGCATAGCATTTTTTTAATTAATCACGCCTAACTTATTAAAAATGCCTACGATTAAGAAACATAGTGATATCAGTTAGGATAGAGTTCAACTTATCCTAAAATAAAATAAATCATAAAATAAAAGCAATATTAATTTTTATAAAATAGTTACTTGTTTTGACTTTTTATAGTAATAAAACAATCCTCATACTGCTTACACTTAACAAAACTTCTCAAATGTCATTAAGGTAATATTATTAAAATAATTAAAGTAATATTTACATTTAAATAATTAATTAAATAAGAACGCCTTCGCAAAGGAAACGCAACTACAACACGCTCCTGTATTGCGGGTATTGCAGTGACTTTCTGCAGGCGTTTTTTTTTTTTTTTTTTTTTTTTTTTTCTCGTCTCGATAAAAATCTCGGCCAAAAAAGAAATCTCGTCTTGTGTAACGAGATTTAAAATTTCCCGAAATTTCGAGACTTGACCATCCCTACTATATAGATACATTTTGTCCATTCTTATAGACCTACTGTACTGGCGATTATTTTGACAGGGGTTAACACCTTAGACTAAAGAAATCTTATTGTAGAATGTGATGCGTGGTTTGGCAAGTGCGTCAACTTTCCCTCACATCATTATCAGCTATCTATCTACTATGAAACTAATTTTTGCAAAGGGATGGTAACCAGTTCTAGAATAGAAGTGAATGAAGTTTACATGAAAGTGCTGGTATCATGTTTGATATTTGAAATAGTTCGCTTGGCTACGACAGAAGCTCATATAGAGACCCAAATATCCAGACAACACTTGTAAACATAGCTAAGAGACTCAGCTGTTAACACTCTATTGTTCATTGCTTTAATAACAGTTTCTATCACAATGTACAGTAGGCCTATAGCTTGTGCATATTGTTTCAGGCAGTACTTGCAGACTTATCTTCTCTTCAGGTCATGCCTCTATTACAGATTGCCCTCATGAAAGACAGCCACTGGCATTCAGAGTAGTTTTTACTATTGCCAAAGTATGATTGTTTATATACAATAATAAGTGTATTTGTTACTTTAATTTACATAATATATGTTCAATTATATACACTTTGCATTGGAATGGGTTTAATTTGCTTTTTTTGTATTGAGGCTTATTTAATAGGTACTAATGTATTGATTGCTGTTGTTTGTGTGAAAAACAAAACTGTGAAAATAGTATCCCTTCAAATGTGGAGAATCCTCCATTACCTAGGGTAGTGGAAAGTCACATGGATAGTTAAGTCACAAACTTGAAAAGATAATGCAATATTTCATAGAAAAACATTGGCATCTACAATTTTAATTACAAATCAAATAATTTTGGCAAGAATAAACTGTGCTGTGCTTGGTTATATGCACACAGCTCTCCTTATCACAAACCTCATAGATGTAAACACTACTAGAAAAGTGCACAGCCTCCAGATCAGTAAATTGAGACTATGGCTGTGCTCCCAAGAGGTCAACTGGTGCTCAAGTTCACTGGAACTTTCCTCCTCCCAGCGGCTGGTAAAAAACGCCAACAATTTAAGATTTCCTTGTCGTCCTTTGCAGATGTCAAGACACCTTCATCGCCCTCCCCAATCACAGCTAATGCTTGAATTTTTCAATGGCAACATCTTTGCACGGGTAAAAAAGTACCCAAAGTTTCAGTTAATATCCAAACATTTTGACTATTGGAATGTGGTTCAGTTCCAGATGATTTGGATAGTTTAAGTTCTACTGTAGCTAAATTATCCATAAAATAAAATAAAATCAAAGAAACTACGGTATTTACTCAGGGGAGGTATAGAAGAGGCTACGATGACAGCTGTGGGCTTCTTATTAGCTGAGGGAACGCCATTACCGTAACAAAACGGTTGATAGCCATCGGCTTCGGTGGTCTAATGGTTAGCGTGCCGGGCTGATATACTGTAGGTTCCGGGTTCGAATCCCGCCGGTGACATTAACTTTTTGTCCAAGATTTTTTCATTTTCAGCAAGTTTGGTTGGTTTGGTTTGGTTATTACAGTTTAATTTTATTATTAAGTCATTATAAAGTTTTAATTGAGCAATTTCTAGTTTTATTTTATAAACAGAATTATTTTTCCGATTACTATAAACTTTTGTTATATTATTTCTTTATCAGCAAGTTTGGTTAGTTCGGTTAGGTTATGATAGTTTAATTTTATAATTAAAAATTAATAAAATAGAATTTTAGGCATTTATAATTTTATTTTATGAACAGAACTATTTTTGCGATTAGTAAACCTTCATTGCCAAAGTGCTCTCTACTACAGCGCTGTTCACGGAGGAATTTTGAACTAAATGCCTCATTTGTACCTCCCCTAAGTCAGACCCAGAAACTACAGTGACTGCATTTAATAATCACACAATTAACCAAACAAGAATTGCCTTTCTTACACAAGGCTAGACTGGTACGTAATTATCCACAGCAAAAAAATAATGGAAACTTTAGAAACAAGGCCGAATGTGTGATTACTCACATGAGATTAAATCACATTGAGGAAGATTGTGGTGAGAATTTTTAGATGCTTGGTTTTGCTGCAAATTTACATCAGAATTACCAGCAAAAGAGTAATGGTAAATACTATTTTTTTATTGCTTTATGAAATAATTTTACTCTTGTTACGTTTTCACCCAATCAATGGTTTCTACGTTGTTTTCAGTCTAAATCCAATTAAATCTATTAAGGTCAATAAAGTGACTAGCACAACATTATCATAGATGCTGTTATATTGGTAAGGATAACATTTGTGTTTAGCAATAACCACTCACAAATTAAGCTATTCCTCATTTATTTAGAATAGCATTAAAAACTTAATGTATTTACAACTTTCTATTACTGCACAATCACAACTACTGAGATACCTCTTTCTGCTCACTGGCTTCAATTGAGACCGTTCCTGCTCCAAGTTCCTTGAGAAGCTCCTTTTTGTCTTCAAAGTAGTCACGGAACCAGTAGATGTGATTCTTTTTCTCTTCAGCTGTTAGCCAATGGTTTTTAGACAGTCCAACACACACTAGCTCCATGAAATGTCTTACTGGACCCTTCTCAGGGCACCAGCCTTCCAGGTGAACCTCCAGGAATATATGATCTTCAAATGGCACTTGCTTTTCATCATCAAGCCCTACAAATAATACAAAAGGCACTTTGAGTAACAAAAGCTTATTCTACAACTAACTTACAAAAATTCACTTCCTTCCTGAATGGATAAAATTTGATATAACTAAAGAGACATATCATTATCGTCGAGGTATTTGTCAAGATAATTAAGATCAACCAATTAGTAACCAGAGAGGTAAGTAAATTTACCAAATATTTAATCTTCTATATCACAGGTCCACTTTTATTCAAACTTACTTCATCTTTATCTTTAAAACTTAAAAGCACTATTATATCAAGCCAATAGTGTTCAAAGGGTGAAAGAATATTTTATAATCAATGTACAGGGTGTGTTAAAAAACAAAAAAGATGTTTTTTTAGTTAGTTCATAAAATTAATACTAGACATTAGGCCTAATCTCAAACATTATCTTATCATTATCTATCTCTTAAGGTGAACAATGTTTTCAAAAGCTGACTATGAATAACACAACTTTAGAGTTTACACTTTGCACTTGTTTATTGGATTGGGACATTCCTTTTTTAGACTAGATAATATTCCAGCTATAGAAATTTTGGGTTTGAAACAGTTTATCAAGATGCAAGATGAACACTTCAATACAAATGTTACAACAAATATCCAAACTTATTGTTACTATGAATTTTTTTTTATTATTTGCTGGATACCTCTAGTATTTGAATAACCTGCCGGTTGTACTGGATCATTGACATTTGACTATACTTTTAGGACAGATAATGAGTTATTTGATGTAAAAGAGTAAACTAAAATACACAACTTGTTGGCTTCATTTACCTTGCTCATTGTCGATGGGAAAGTGCCACAGCACACCTCGATCAGTCCACTGAATCATCTGCTCGTATATGTTGGCTGGAGGATGTGTACACGCCAGGCGCAGGTCTCTCTGTACACAGGAGTCCCAGGTGCTCAGCTCACAAGACGCAGGCGCTGCCTCTAGACCAGCAAAATACGATGACGGCTGCGCTCCCAAGATGTCGACTGGTGCTCCTGCTTTCTTCTCTCCAAACCTCCTTATCAACAAATTGAGTTTTTCAGTGGATTAAGTGTCAGTATTATTTTTTCCCAAATGATTGTATGAAGTCGGCAGTAGGAAGAGGAAGTTAAATTATATACAAATTATGGTTGTATACTAGTGATGGTAAATAATTTGTATAGGTGCCTACTAATGATGGTAAATAAAGAGAATGCCGAGGAAACATAACGCATTCACAGGAGATGTCTTATTTTTTTAAGGACTTCTATTTTGTGTCAAATCAAAACTGATTCATAATACCAATAAAAAATTAAAAAGTAAGAAATTTTGGAAGAAGATCAGACATCTAGCTTGTCTTTAAAACAGTCAGCGTCAGTCATTTATAAGTGTTCACCTCGTCTTGTTTTTGTGTTGTTTTTTGTTTACTTTGTAGAATCTTATCGGTAATTTGTTTTCTTGTGCTGCATATAACTGAATGACAAGTTATAAAATAAGCAGAAGCAATTTTTTTAAACGCAAGTAGTATGTTGTTTTTTAACAAAATACTAGATTACTGCGTATTTGTCATGGACCATGCTACAAAATATTTTGGGCTTTTTAGTCCTAGCATAACATTCTCAAATGTCATGCCTATGTGTTGTTTTTTGTTTACTTTGTAGAATCTTATCGGTAATTTGTTTTCTTGTGCTGCATATAACTGAATGACAAGTTATAAAATAAACAGAAGCAATTTTTTTAAACGCAAGTAGTATGTTGTTTTTTAACAAAATACTAGATTACTGCGTATTTGTCATGGACCATCCTACAAAATATTTTGGGCTTTTTAGTCCTAGCATAACATTCTCAAATGTCATGCCTATAAAAATCAAACACAACTGTAAAACAAGCAAAAAAATAAGAATTTCAGTAAAAGAAGTATAATATAGGCCTAGCACTGCTTTTCCAATTTTTGATGATGATGGTCACGAGCCGACTTAACAACATTCAGTCATTGTAAGGAACAACAATTGTACCTGTAAAATGATTTACTCCATTAGTATAGAGTTATATAGAGGCTCGATTGGACGACACTGATTTACCAGCCACTTATGTTTAGTAACTTACACTAAGTAAAAGTATGATCAAGGACTCTGAATTATGTTATTAATTATTTAATTCCTGTCTTGATCAGAGTTGGTTTTTGGATAGGCTGAAGGTTGCCAGGGTTGTCCCTGTGTAAGAAAGGAAACTGTGAACATGCCAGCAGTTATAGACCTAATGCAATTGTTGCAGCCTTCTCTAAATCGTAAAAAAAAATGATGTACGACCAGTTTTTTGCACACATTAATGCTAGTAGCCTGTTCTCTGATTCCCAACAGGGCTTTAGAAAGGGCCATTCTACTACCACAGCAGTGATGTGACTGATTGAGAGGGTCACAAACGCCTTTGAACGTGAGGAGCTCTTAGGCCAAGTCCTACTGGAACTGAACAGAGCGTTCTATGTGGTGTCGCATGAACTTCTTCTGGCCGAACTAGAAACCTACGGATTAGGAAGAACTGTTCTTTCTTGCTATATTTTTGCCTCATACCTTAGCCATCAAAGGCAGTTGGTTGCAGTGGATGGGGCCCACTCAAGTGAACTTAGGGTGGAACACGGTGTCCAACAAAGCTACAGGGTGTCCCACGAAGACGTTTAAACGTTTGATTTTATATTACTTGCCCATTTACGCACCGAACATTATGAAACTTTACACAATTTAGGAAGTCTGTTTTTAAAATATTCTGGAAAAATTTCAACTTCAGCTCTCTCATTCTTGTAGAACTAAATGGTGGTATATTGAAAAATTATACATTAAAAACATAAAAAAGTTGTGTTTTTGGTTTCTTAAAATATTTTAATTGTCATATTCTAGGCAAATAAAGACTTTTTAAATCAGAAAACTAGAACATAGCCTAGTGAAAACCCTAAAAATGAGACCAAAATTATTCAAACTGTGATCCATCCATAGCAACACACTGATAACAGTGCTTAATAAATGAACCGTCAAGCAATTGCTAAATGACAACCTTCATGGCCATTGGATTGGTCGAGGATGTAATTTTTTTTAGATTGGCAACTCCGATCTCCAGATTTAACTGTGTGTGACTTCTTTTTATGGGGTTTCTTGAAGGAACAATCTTATAACCATATCTTCAATAATGGTGAGGAACTAAAACAATCAATTTAAAAGGAACTTCTCCGGATACCACAGAATTTCTTACAAGAGCTTACTTATAAATGAGTTGGCTGTCTCATTCCTTATAGATTTATCAACCTGACAATCAGCTAAAGACAATCAAAGGTTAGTCCTGCCCAGTTTATGTGGTGTTCATTTTGATACTTTCTGTTAGGTATGTATCTTACTTATAACATATTTAAGCCAAAATTATAAACCTATAAAAATTAAAAAAATATATAAAAATTAAAAATTATAAGCTATGGTACTTAAGGTATTATTTGTAACAGTTTTGCGTTTTTAAATTCTGTCTTTAAAAAAATATATATTTATTCAAAATTAGTGCATTCTAATCGCTACCCACATGAAATAAGTTACCAAAAGTGTTCAAATGAGATAATGTGGTAAAGGCCAAGAGTGTACATGCACTGTTGAAAGTCAATGATATTATGATAACAACTCGCAGATAGTATTATTTTCTTGGGTTCACACAGGCTAATCATGCGTTACGTGACAACTAGCACCACGATCAACACTTACTTAAAATGTTCAAAAAGTAACTAGCAAGTGCTAGCAGTGCTAACTTACTAGCTGCTAATGTTTGTTTCACAAAGTGATAGTTTTTTACTTGCTGATAGTCAATTTAGCACAAATACTAGTACCTTTTGCTCTTGTATCTCTCTTCAAGCATGGTTGAAGACACCGACTGTCTGGCTAGTGTGTCTCTGACTTGCTTGGCTCTGCTTTCTTCTTTGTCTGTAGATGTCTGCTCCACCTTCATCCCTGATAGAACATCCCTGACACAGACAATATATAGACACTGACACTAGGCAAAGGCCTAAAGAGTGATCATATTAGTTTTCAACTCAATTGTTACCTAACTTAGTTGTTTATAGAATGCAGCACTGCATTGCAGGAGATTTGAAAACTAAGAACTCCAACTAACCAAATTAATTGGGACTGTACCACATTCACTATTCGGATAACCAAAAATTCAGATAATTAGGTTTTTGATTGAAATTTGGAGTATTTTACAGAAAATAGGCCAAGTCGATCCGAGCTTTTACTAATGCGATCGCAGAATGCGTCTGCAAAGATATCACGATCTAAAAATTCACGCTTTAGCCACAATTGCGAAGGATGATTATAATTTTCCATGACGCGTGAGGTGAAGTTGATGTCTACAAGACTGCAAAAGATGTTCAAGATTTTTTTGAGATCACAGAGAAAACGATAAAGAGTTTCTATGACTGCAAAGGACAATGTTCATGTCCACAAGACGCGGGAGATATTCAAGATTTTGCCGTGATCACGCAAAAACCATGAAGATGTCCTGGGGGGAGGCGATGATGATATCTACACAACCATGGGAAACGTTGAACATTTTGACGCGATAATGGCAAACAATGATGATGTCTACAAGACCGTGAATGATGTGCAAGTTTTTGTCACGATTTTGAAAAGCGATGATGATATTTCTGTGGAAGACGATGATGATGGCTACACGACTGCGAGAGAGAGGTTTTGGATTTTGCGGCGATCGCAGCTTCTGCCTTCTTTAATAATGTAACCTTATAATTGTGGTTCAACTTTTTAAAATTCTTTCTATAAGCAATTCAGATTGTTGGAGCAGTTCGGATGGATGGAGTTCTACTGTATTGTCTAAAAGCCATAATATGAGATCTAGCTCAGTTTGAATGAACTGGTAATAATATGCACAGTATCAACTCAGATACCCAACAAGCATTGTTAATCTAACTTAACTTAAAACTCTTTTGTTGCATAAAAGTATTATTATATTTTTTTTTACTGAAATGTAGGTTAGGCTAAGTAAAAGTATCAATGTTGTGTGTGTCCAAGTATCAATCCCTCACTGCAGTAAACCTACAAACAAAGAAAGTTTTCCTGACCGGATTTTTAGTAAAATATTTTCTAAAACATGTCATATTTATTGCCTTATTAATAAATAACATCAGGTTTATTGAGTTCTTAGGTTCACTTCTATAGATTGTTAATTTTTTTAAAGTGAAAAATCAAGTCAAAACTGAAGTGATTAAGTGAATTTATGTTTATATAACTTTGTTATACTACGTGTCTGTCCTGGACCATTCATGGAATGGAAGTCAATTTTACTGTATAATGATTTAATACTTACTTCAATATGTGGGTTTCGGGTTCTGACCGTTTCAACAAAATGTTAAGGAGTTCAGATTCAGTTTTTTGTACATCTCCACCTAGGCTTGTGGCAACATCTTTGGCTGCATCTGCTATTTTAACACCTAAAACATCATTATCATCACCTACATGGCCAACAAATTATCAAAAAGAACCAAATTGGTAGGCCTAGGTCTAGACAATAAAATATAGGTGAGTACACCTACGTTTCATTTCATTGCAGTAGTTAAGAATGTATCAAAAATATCTACACATACTAGTGGAAATTTTATAAAATGTACTAACTACTACCCGTCGGCTTTGCCTGACGTAGCTATGTGTTTTATTACTACTACTATGAATTTAGATTAATTTACATTACTAGAAGTTTTTTTTTTCAAACATGTAGGAAAGGAATCAACACATCATTGCGAAGATAAATAAATAGAATAGTTTGTTTTGACATGAGCAAAACTTTAAATAAAACATCTAATTAACTGTTATGATCTTATCTTAGCCATAAACTATTGGGAATTGGCTGAGTACGCAGGTTAGCCTATTAATTTTATCCCTGTACTGTATCAATGATAACTATCACTAATACTAATCGCTGGGGATCGAGCTGGCGTAGTGGTTAGAGCGCGGGACTTCAGTCCCTGAGGTCCCGGGTTCGATCCCTGCCAAGTCACCAATGGATTTTATCTAGGCTAAGTGATAATGCCGCAACCCCTAGGTCTAGCCTGAAGTAATGTGAAAAACAATCCCAGGCTCGTGCCTAGCGTCCTAGGAAAAAAAATACGTAAAATAATCGCTAAATCGCTAATCGCTAATACTAAAAAAGGTTATAAAAGGTTACAGGTTATATTTGTTAGGTATTTTGGAATTAATAGCATGTTTCCATGACCGCGGGAGTTGCTCAAGATTTTTGCCACGATCGCGGATGACAGATCGCGGATTTTTATATTGTTTCCGTGATCGCAAGATATGTCCAGGATTTTGAAGTGATAGCGGAAGAATATGATGACGTTTCAATGACTGCGGGAGATAATGATAATTTATACAAACAGTGGGAGATATTCAGGATTTTGCCGTGATGGCGGATGACGATGATAACAATTACTTGACCGCAGGAGACAATGATGATGACAAAACAACTGCGGGAGATATCCAGGATTTTGCAGCGATCGTGAATGATGATGATTCTGAAGCTTTTGATTCCATTTCTCATGAGTTGTTACTTTCAAAGCTCAGTAGTAGTGGAGTAAATAGTACTGCATTGAACTGGTTCAAGTCATAACTTTTTGAGAGAAATCAATACGTATAAACTGAGTCACTGTAATAATTAAAATTATAAAATTTCTTACAATTCTTGTACTCAGGAAGTAAAATATGGGGTGCACCAAGGATTGATCTTAGGCCCTCTTTTAATCATCTTTTGTTTGAGAAATTTTCCGCAACTCAGTGATTTTAGCAAGCTTTGCTTATATGCTGATGATGCAAATTTAAAAATAGCCGCAGAAATGTATGCTGAACTTGAAGCCAAGGCTAATTTGGATATATTATTACTGAACAGTTTTTTTTATTCAAATAATTTGGGTTTGAACATAGATAAAACTAATTTTATGTGTTTCCAAGCAGGAAAAACTAAACTGCTAAATCTGCCAAAAATTGTAGAAAATAACAACACAATTCAAAATAAAGACCACATAAAATTCTTAGGATTAGAAACTTATGAAAATTTGAAGTGGAACCATTATATTGATCAGTTACTTTCTAAAATTTTATCTTTCCTTTATGCGCTAACAAGATTAAAACCCCTATGTAAAAAGGTAACTGTAAAAATTATATATTTTTCTCTCTTGATCTGCAGAATCAGGTAAAGTACCTAGGTGTAGTATTGGACAGAAAACTGCAATGGGGACCACAACTCCAAAAGGTCATTGATTCAGGTAAGTGGTCACTCATGGGATGCAGGCGAATGGTGGGAGGAACCTGGGGGCTCAAGCCGGGGCTTATGCACTGGCTGTTTGTCTCCGTGGTAAGGCCTGCCATGACATACGGTTTACTCGTGTGGTGGCCCAAGATGGACTCTGTGTCGGTGGTGAGAGATATGGCTGCTGTCCAAAGACCTGCCTGTCTTATCATCACAGGCGCAATGAGTAGCTGTCCAGTAGCCTCACTGGACTGCCTTCTCAACCTCACTCCAATTGACCTCCATTTCTAAGGTCACTGCAATGAGGACTGCCTACAGACTCCAGTGCGAAAACCTTTGGTTGGATGTTGGAGGATCCCGAGATCACTCTGGCTCGAACCACTCAAATGGTAAGAGGGGAGATACTGGACATGCCCTCGGACCACATTCCAATTCGATTTTTCTTCGTCAGGACAATTACCATCCTCCTTCCATCCAGGGATGAGTGGATTTCGGGTGGGAATCCTCTTCACAGGGCGGCCTTGAATGGTATACTGACGGTTCAAAAGTAAGAAGTGAGACAGGAGCTGGAATTCATGGAGTGCAGAATAGGGTAGACCTTTCCCATGGTTACACACACCAACTGTGTTCCAGGCCGAAATAACTGTGATAATGGAATGTACGAGAGAGAACATGAGGCTGGGCTTCAGGGACATCAACAATGTCCGAAGGGGGGGCAACCGGGACAAGCTGCCCCGGACGCAGCGGCTGAGGGGGCTCCTCGCCGTGGCTATTAGTATTAACATAGTATTACAAATATGCGAATGCGACTAGTACTGGGGGGAGGAGGGGGCGCCACGACCTCGTTTGCTCCGGGCGCCGCAACCCTAGGGACAACATTTCCATTTTTACATACAGCCATGCTGCGCTCTAAGCGCTCGACTCCTGCGACGTTTTGCCTTATGGCGCCTCATGTGACCAGGTTTATATTATTTCAAATGGAGATGCCGCACACATCAGGTACGGCAAGGCAAGGCAAGGCAAAGCAGCGCCGCACGGCGCTTTGTACTGCCTTTTCAATTCTCGTCTTTCGGGCAAAAGGTTTGAGGCAAAACGATGTGCGCATGCGCGAAGATTGACACCACATGGAGTGCAGTGGACAGCACCTGTCGAAAGCCATGGGTACTTCTATGTTGTGTACGTCTTGCCGTGCCGTGCTGTATGCAGCTCTTCTCTATCGGATATGGCAAGACAAAGATGTTTCGCCGTGCCGTGCTGTATTAGGTGTGCGGCCGGCCTACCTCAGTCATGTCATGGGCTCAGAAGGAACACAGGAAAAGATGGGTTAGGCTTCAAACACCATGTAGGGTTTTAATTTTAATTTTGGTAAGTAAGCTCACCCTCTTCTCCCCTTCCCAGATGGTCACCTCCAATGCTCTACATTTAGACAGGAGGCAACTTAGACAGATCACAGGTATGGTCACTAGCCATGGCTCCCTGAAATTGCACCTGCATCGTTTAAGGACCCACAATGGAAACACTGCATGTAGGAAATGTGGGCAGTCAGAGGAGACTGCAGACCATCTACTCTATGACTGCACAGCTCTGAACGAGGTAAGGGATAGTACTCTTGGAGCAATGACAAGGGGCAGACACCTTCCTCAGGAGGAGCTCATAGATATGATGATGAAGTTCATTAAACAGCTCAGGTTTGACGGACTCTGAAGTGGGGAGCACAAAAAGCCCATCAGTGGTTGGCGTGCAACCGGACAAGGTCCGCCCCTAGAGAATCGATCAATCAAGACCTACCCTTACAATAGGCTGGTCTAATGATGAAATGATACAATGTCACCATAGCTTAGTTGGCTCCTCAATTGTGGTTGGGTGTAAGGTTCAATCCTTAACATTGTGTAATCAGGTTAAATTAAATAAGACAAAATAAATTACCTAAGGGTTTTTCTTTTTCAGCTTTGACTTTTTCTCGTTTAACTGCCTGAGGTACTTTCACTTTTCTTGAAGGTTCCTCATCTTTCTGAAAAATAGAAGGTTAAAGTTTAGCCAATTTATAGAGTCAAAGCTTATTCCTTTGTCTATGGCAGACATGTGAAGGGTGGACATTGGACCTGCAACGTAGCTGCTAGGATTTTCCAGACTCACATTGCTGCTTAAAGCTTATTGACGGTATTGTACAAATCCCTGTTTAAATTAATTTAATAGGTCTCTGAGAACGGTAATGATAGACCTGTATTGCGAACCCATCATTAGCCTATACAATTTTAGAAACTATGACAAATTTGTCGAGCGAAGGCCTACAGAATAAAAAAAAAAACAAGAGTGGCAAAAATGTGTTACGAAGGCTACATACAATAGCATTCTTTAACTTATTGTAACAACCTAAATTGGCCAGGGAGTAGACTATTGTCTATAGTTGATTTTAACATAACAAATATACAAAAATAGGACACTTTGTTGCCAATGTTATAGGGTACAACTACTAATTTGTGTTGCCTCAAAAAAGATCAGGGTAGAAATATCAAGAACCAGGGTAAAATGTAATATTGGGCTTACCTTAACCATCATCTGTAGAAGATTGTTTAGTTTTGTGTTGGCTTCTTCTTTGGTAGTTTGACTTTTAACTTTTTCTTCACTTTTCTTTTCATTCAATTCATTTGTTTTATCATCATTTGATAACAAAAGGTTTGAGCTTGAGAAGCATCGGATATGTTTGATGCTGAAAAATAATAGCATGTTAGCCTTCATCTTTTATCTTGCAAATATTTGTATTTGCGAGATCGTTGAATGAATGGCTAATAATTACACTTTATGCATAAAACATGTTTCTTTACACGACAATGGAAACGGCTAAATTGATACATGCGTTGTGGGGCTAAAATAAGTTATGGTATATACTGTATAGTATATAGTGTAGATATAAAGTCAATGGTCTCAGGTCTATAGTATTTAGTATAAATACCCCTAGGGCAAAAAAGAATCAGCTGGTGTTTGCCGGTCGATCCTGAAGTATCCTAATGCAGGACATTTCCTTTTTTTGTTTATCAACGTGTCACATTTGTATGATATTATTTCCGATATCATTTCTGCGATAAATATACCTTTATTGATATTTATAAAATATCAAATGTAATAATCCTCTGTATGTGAAAAATACCCCGAGCTTCAAGTTTTTGGACTTCAATTTAGATGCATAGCACCTATTAAGCTTCAGATTCACATTTGTCTCATTTGCCTACGATAAATTTTCTGAAATAAAACCAATTTTTTGAACAAATTGTTTTAAAATCTGAACGAATTGTTTTGAACAAATCATTCCAATACTATACCGGTACAGGTTTGGAAAAGAGCTATAGAGGTTAGGAGAGGCAATGAAATTATGACGATGAGAAGATTAATTAAATCAATAGTATAAGTTAAAGGTGTTTGAAATGTAAAGATTGCTAAACGTCAAAAGGCATTGAGAAATGCTTATAACTTGGTTGATCGTTGCAAGCTAATCAGTTCGTATTTATGCACTAGCTGGCCCGACAGACGTCGTCCTGTCCTAATGTGCGGTTTTATGTCAATGCTCGTTCATTTTCAAGATGAGCTCGTTCGCATGGCTCAATCATGTCCTGGTTGAAGTTCGTTCGCTACGCTCACTCACCTTTGGGTTGGAGCTCGTTCGCTACGCTAACTTGCTTTCAGGTTGTAGTTCGTTCGCTACGCTCACTCACCTTTTTGTTGCAAATTAGCTGTTTTTACAAATAAAAAAAAATAATAGTGCTGCATCCTATTGTTAAACCTATTAACTTTTTAATGCTATTGAACATCACAGAATCAAATTGTTTAGTTGAACCAGCTGTTAAGATTCTTTAATTCCATTTAAATATGAGTACTCATAAGGTTAACATGGGAAACTCCAGAGCCACTGGGGCGGAGCCCTTTTGACAGATCTACACCAAACTTCACACAAACCATCCTTGAATAATGCTTAATAATGCCTGAAAGTTTCATTACAATCTGTCGAGCGGTTTCGGAGTCCATTTAGAACAAACAAACAAACAAACATACATTGGATTTTATATATAGATGTGAGGAAGCTAGGTCAGGCTTCATGCAGGTTCGTGCCTGTATTAGGTCCTTTGAAGTTAGGTGTTAGGTTAAGTTAAAGTTTAGGTTTTAATGAATAATTGTTGTGGTTTAATTACTTTCTAATTTATGTTACTGTACTTCCATTCGGTTTTGGCAGAGTTTGTAATAGTTAGCCTATTTTATTGTCTTTCGCACAATATTTCAAAGTAAGCCTTATGCTATTTCGAGTGTTTTCAACTATTTTAAAGAAGTTAACTTAGATTAGGTTAGGGTTGGTTAGGTCATATTCACCGTAACATTGTAAACCAGTACAAAGTTTTTGTTTTCATGTCAATGTGTAGGCTAACTAGGCTACTGGTTTTGTTTGCTTTGCATCACATTTAAACAGCTAGGCTTAAGGCTGCGCTCTACCCGTCTGGCGCGCACAAATGCAAGGGGTTTAGTTCTTACTGATTATAGACCCAATTGTGAACCGATTTAAAAGGTCTTGGTATCATATTTTTCGTTAAATATTGTTGTAGTTTTGCGGTTTTTTGGGGATGCGGAATTTTATCCCCTGGAAAACTACCCCCCCAGGTGTAACGTGACGTCACAATATCTGCTAACTAACCAATATGGAAGCCGTGTCCGCGACTGGAATACTACCCCCCCTAGACAAATCATGGTATGTAATTTTAATTTTAATTCAAGTAATTCCGTTGGATAATAGAAAAGGCATGTGGTGAATATAAAACAGATTTTCGAAATGTTACAGCAAGTTTGGTTGGTTAGGTTAGGTTAGATTAGAACTGTTTGACAACTAAATTTGAGTGTCCGTGACTGGAAAACTGCCCCCCCGGTCTCTGACGTCAATATGACGTAGGAACCTGCTTGGGGGGTAGTTTTCCGGGGGGCAGTCTTCCGGCCGGTTTTTTTTTTATTTTGATAGTTCAAAAAATGTTGGGCTCAAAGGTTAGTAAAAATGTTAAAATATGTTTTTTTTTATCTTAAGTTTTAACACATACAAATAATTTTTAGAGAAAAAATAACAAACGGGGAAAGTGCATTAGATTCTTAAAAACAAGAATATGCAGTTAGTTTATTAAAAACTTTAAGAATAACGATGTAATCACCCATATTCGAAAGGCTTGCAAGCGTTCTTCATGGCGCTGTTCAATGCAATGGTATAGGGACATCGGCGTTCGGCAACTTTGTATTGAGAAATCCGAGCTGAGGTGGAGCAAACCCTTAACAGCTGATTGCACTCCACAAATCTTCCTCCCTTTTAAATACCTTCACAGCAAGAACTTGGTCCCGCCAAAACCATCATCCAAATTGCTTTTAACAGACCTTAAATTTGTTATATTTAATTTTTTTTTTGGACACTTAAGACTCTTTCAACAAAAACTTATTGCTTTTTTTCAATTCAGTGTTATAAAACCGCAAGACATAAAAGTAGCCTAAATGTTACTCGGTGAAAGAATCTTAAACTTTGGTACTTTCCTGTTAAATGGAACATACAGGGTGAGTTTTAATTGTCCCCCCCCCCAACTTTTTTCTACATTTTTTCAAATATCAATCCCAGACCACTTCCAAACATTGTTGGGTAGTAAGTACTTCATTTTGACAAGGTGGTCATTTCCGGCCGCCATCTTGGATCCGCCATATTGGATGCAACATTTTTTTTTCAAATGTAAAGGTGGGGTTGTGACCCATTATTTCGAACTACATTTTTACCCTGATTACAATGCCGCAAACCGTTTTTAAAAATCTTGATTCATTCTAAAGTTACGAGGGCTTTTTAAAGCTTTATTTTTAGCCCATTTTAACATTGTGCATTTACAAACTAAGACCATAATCCCAAAATAGTGCTAGATAATGATAAGTATACACTACCAGTAATTGTCCACCTATTTTCACTTGATTATGACTGATGTATTTTTTTCGGCCGCCATCTTGGATCCGCCATTTTGAAATGTGATAAATTATTTTAAATATGAAGGGGGTGTTGTGACCCATCATTTTGAACTACTTTTTTAAGCTAAACTCAATGCCGCAATCCATTTTTTGTTATCAAGTTTTATTTATGAAATATTGAAATTTTTTTGTTAAAAATGTCAATATTTCAAAATCAAAAAATGAAAATAAAAAACGGATTATGGAATTAAGTTTAGCTTAAAAAAGTAGTTCGAAATGATGGGTCACAACACCCCCTTCATATTTAAAATAATATATCACATTTCAAAATGGCGGATCCAAGATGGCGGCCGAAAAAAATACATCAGTCATAATCAAGTGAAAATAGGTGGACAATTACTGGTAGTGTATACTTATCATTATCTAGCACTATTTGGGATTATGGTCTTAGTTTGTAAATGCACAATGTTAAAATGGGCTAAAAATAAAGCTTTAAAAAGCCCTCGTAACTTTAGAATGAATCAAGATTTTTAAAAACGGTTTGCGGCATTGTAATCAGGGTAAAAATGTAGTTCGAAATAATGGGTCACAACCCCACCTTTACATTTGAAAAAAAAATGTTGCATCCAATATGGCGGATCCAAGATGGCGGCCGGAAATGACCACCTTGTCAAAATGAAGTACTTACTACCCAACAATGTTTGGAAGTGGTCTGGGATTGATATTTGAAAAAATGTAGAAAAAAGTTGGGGGGGGGGACAATTAAAACTCACCCTGTATATTATAATCGATGATTTCTTTTCCATATATCGATATTTTTATTCGATATATTGATATTTACGAATTGAAACTTATCAGCTGACAACTATACGATAAATAAATATTTTTCAGTAGCAACAAACAATCCTACTAATATTATAAATGAGAAAGTTTGGATGTATGGATGTATGTTTGTGACAAGTGAACGTGAAAAATACTGGTCGGATTGGGCTGAAATTTGGCATGATGATAGCTCACATTCCCGATTAACATATAGGCATATTCTTATTTCAAAAATCCTTTCGGGCTCCGCCCCAGTGGCTCTTGAGTTTCCCATGTTAACCTTATGAGAAATGGAATTATTGAATCTTAACAGCTGTTTCAGTTAAACAAGTTGGTTCTGTTCTATGATGTTCAACAGCATTAAAGTTCCAAGGATTACCAACAGGGTGCAGCACTATTATTTCTTTTACATTTATGACAACAGCTAATTTGCAACAAAAAGGTGAGTGAGCGTAGTGAACGAACTTCAACCTGGAGGCGAGTTAGCGTAGCGAACGAGCTAACCTGAAGGCAAGTGAGCGCAGCGAACGAGCTCCAACCTAAAGGTGAGTGAGCGTAGCGAACAAACTTCAACCAGGACGTGATTGAGCCATGCGAACGAGATAATCTTGAAAAATAAGAAGTTAAACGGGGCAAAGCCCGCGGGTTACAGCTAGTAAAAAATATATTGAAATGAAACGGTTCTTAACTAACCAAACTTTGCTGTAACATTTCAAAATTCTGTTTGATAGTTTTCCCCATATGCCTTTTTTCTGTTATCAAACAAAATTTTGAAATGGTAACTTAGCCTACAGCAAGTTTGGTTAGTTATGTTAGGTTAGGTTAGAATAGTTTCATTTCTTCAATATATATAGGCTAATATTTTTGTCTAAACAAATTAGTTCTTAATCCTATTCTCTAAAACCAGCTATATCTCAATAACTCGGTTATGGAACTGAGTACCGGTATAACTTAAACATATTTGCTATGTCTGTTTGTCTGTCTGTAATGTAAATGTGTTTGAAGATATTAAAATAGATGGATATGGATCGTAAAGGAAAACAAAAATATCGATATATCGAGAAAAAAATCATCGATAATAATGAATGTTCCCCTTAACAGGAAAGTACCTAAACTTTGAATCGCTGTTTAACGATCTGGTCCACCCAAAATCCGTCCAAAATCGTTTTATCCTGCATCTCGTTTCAATCCCGCTCAGGGTTTAAAAATCCCGTTTTCGGGATAATAATCCTGCATATTATGGAAAAATTGATCCAGAGCTTTATTCAAAAGCAAATATCGTGTGAGTACACTTGGCTATGACTATTTATGACCTCCTCCTTTGCTTGAGACCAAATGTATTGGATAAGCAGCATCAAAAGAATAATTATAAGGGTGAAGTGGGGTAAGTGGAACCAGGGGGCAAATTTTTAACTTTTTTTAAGAAAATTTTTTCTTCTTTTTAAGTTATTGTCTTTAAAAAGCTTATTAGTTGTAGTTATTGTAAAAATATCACAATTAGGCATACAAGTATAATATTACCTGAGTAATGTAAGGTCAAAATTGAACTATGCTAAAACATTGTTCCACTTACCCCACTTCACCCAAGTTACATATTTACAATATTTACAAACTATTTTCAGACTTCCAAGATGGAGTTAAGTTATACGATTCCCGCTACTCGCATGGACAATGGTTTTGGGATGCCGAATCATCATCAAAAAACTCACTTTTAACTTAACCTTGTGGTGAATTTATGCAAGTTATCATGGACATAGTTTACAGATAAAAGGATGTAGCCTACCGGTAGTTACTGTAAACTGTCAAAATGCCCGTCCGTACAAATAGAGGCCTACCACCCTCCCTATTTTTTATAATTTTTTTATTTTTTTATCCCTTCTACCACTCCCTGTGATAAGTTTTAATAAAAAGTTTCCTTGTGATAAGTGATATAAGTTGTGATAAGCAGAGCCTTCTTTTGCCGTTGTAGGACCTTGAGGCAGTCAGGTGCATGGTTTAAGACCGTATGAGATAAGTTATGGCTGTGGAACAACGAATTGTAAATTATACCAAACTATCAAATAGGATTTGGGGACAAGTTTCGTGAGTTTACGGAGCAGAAAGTTTACCCTCGCTAACCTCTTACAAATGTTGTCAATATGGTCTCCCCAGGTTAATTTGGGATAAAAAGTAAAACCATAGACTAAGCAATACAAGTGGACTCCTCATCCCATTGTAAATTGAAGCTTGTTGTGCATTGAAGCTTGTATTTTGTGGTTAGTTCATGTACGTCCACACTGATCGCTGGGGTGGAAGAAATGTTGTTTCTATTATTTTACGGTTGTTTTCATAATTTGTGCTTTAAACTTACTATTTGGATATATAGCCTAACTAGGAGACCAGTTATTGTTTATGATTATATCGTTTTATTTGGTTAAATGAGGTTTTAAGACGTTCACTGCCGAAAACCTTTACACAGGCGCTCCTTAACTGCGGCGAGGCCCGGGCGGAGCCCTGGTACGCTAACTGAATCAGCGATTGCTATTGGCATTGAAATATCTCAATAAGACGAATCACAAAAGAGCAGTGGTGATTGTTCTGCGTTACCCCGAAACGTAGTTACGTAGTTCTCTAAACCACCCAAAGGTAGCATCACTGTCTGGATCAATAACCAGAGTCTTTGTAATATGGCTCGAATAAAGAAAATCCCCGAAAACGGGACAAAAGCATTGCCAGATGGGATTTTACGGGAATGTTTAGTACCAACCTACACCAAAATAAAGCTTGCATTCTACGCTACAGGCTGGCAACAATTACAACGTTCCCCGGCAATGGCTGAGCTAACATTGAAGCAAAGTTGTTGGCATCGGTGAAGGACATGATTTCCCGCCCCTCGCACTGAACATGTTAAACAACTGAAATATTAAGAAACAAATTATAAACAAAACGCAGTCTACATTCTACAGTTGGACGTACAGAACTGAGTAACAATAAAATTGGCTTCAGCTGTTACATAAGGATGACAAATCTACTATGGGAGTAATTTTAATCCATGGTAAAACCTATTCAGTGACATATTTCTCGACACTTGTTGAAGTGATGACGTTAGAGAGCATATCAGTTTCTGTGTTTTATCGCCAAGTTGTAAGTTTACACATATTACAGTTAAACCATTCTCTAGCATCTGCAAACAAATGCTCAGATTCTTCTATCGCTACGTTTGGACTTCTTCCAATTGTTAACTTTCAAGTGTTGTGTCATCCAGCATATTAATCTATGAAGTAAGGACGGGTGCAGTTTCTTAACTAGGCTATGCTAATATCGAATGAAACTATCGATTAGTAAACCTTAATTCAATTTTTTCATTAACAGCAAGTTTGGTTAGTTAGTTTAGGTTATGACACAGTTTCATTTTATAACTGATATAGTTAAAAAATTGATTATTAATCGATATTTTCAATTCGATAGTTTTAATCGATATTACCATAGCCCAGTTAAGAAACTGTACTTACCCATAAAAACTTTGAGACTTCTGGGGTGATTGTTTATGTTGATTGATCTCACGATCTAACGGAGTCAGAAAGGTTCCAACTCCAACTCCAAGTCTTATACTTACCGACCTAAGGCTTTTTAAACGATAACTACAGTAACCTAGTCTTAATGAGTGCTATGCCTAGGTACTTACTTTCTAGCCAAATTTCTTGGAAATGTTAACATTTTGACAACAACGATATTTGATTTATTGCTTCACAAATATTAACATATATTTCAAAGTAACTTCAACTCTTAAATCTTATAAATCTCTAAAATCAATGAGAAAACGCACAGATTTCATACTAAATTGAGTAAATTCAAAAGCTAGCTAGATGCTAGCTAATGCTAAAGGTTTCAAGAAGGTTTGTTTGTTTGTAGGTTATGTTATGTTTTTTTTTTATGTTATGTTAATGTTTAGTTTCTAGTTAGAAAATTGACTTTTTTTATAAATTGTCTTTTTAACTGGCTCTTGGCAGGCTTTGATTTCAGCGACAAGCCATGAAGCAAACGTTATACTTAATTTTGATATCATTGATTATGAACTAATTAAGTTTAATCAATGGTAAGTTTTCAGGGACTGTCAAGTGTCACGGGCACGGCCGCCTTTAACTACAGGCCACGGCCTGGTAGAATTGGCAACGTTGCAAGTTGTGTTGTTAACTGTCAGACGTCCCATAAGATAACATGGCAGCCAGGTGACATCAGCTCATTAATTCGCACTTTATTGAATTAAATTTAAATTTATTAAAATATTGAAAATAAAACATACAGAATTGAAAACCGAAACAATATGAATGAAAACTGTATATCTGTACATTATAGGCGGAGTCAATATTGTCATAGTCCAGTAAATCAACAATCTTTCGTAAATACACAAATACCATTAGCTGCTTCCAAACAAAACAGCTGTTACAACACTACTTGCTTCGAAGGCCGCGGCCTGGAGTTACAGGCGGCCGTGCTACTACAGGCCACGGCCTGGTAGAATTGGCAACGTCGCAAGTGGTGTGTTGTTCACTGACAGGCGTCCCATAAGATAACATGGCAGACAGGTGACATCATCTCATTAATTCACACATTATTGATTTAAATTTAAATTTACGAACTTAAATTTATTAAAATATTGAAAATAAAACATACAGAATTGAAAACCGAAACAATATCAATTAAAATCTATATCTGTACATTTTTAAGCGGAGTCAATATTGTCATAGTATTGTAACCAATCTTTCGTAAATACAAAAATACCATTAGCTGCTTCCGAACAAAAACAGCTGTTACAACACCACTTGCGTCGTTGCCAGTTCGATGGCCACGGCCTGGAGCAAGGCCCCACTAGCAATGAATACACAAACTATAGTTTGTGTATTCATTGCCACTAGGTATAGTGGGGCCTTGCCTGGAGTTAAAGGCTGCCGTTCAAGTATCTTCATCAGTTGTAGCCATATTGGATTTTAGTTCCTTAAGAGCAATTTTAAATTTGTAACTGAATTTCTAAAAACCTGTAGTGAATATTGATTGGGAAGTTAAAATTAAGGTTTAGTGGTCCTCTAGAGAGAAAAGATTTTAGTTTTACCAGTTTCCATCCACTTAATAAGTTAATGATCATTAATTAAGCCTTTGCTTTAATTAAATAATTTATTAAGAAAAGACAAAAACAAATATTTGAAATATAATTCCCTTATTCCCTAGTACGCTAGTACTCTATGTTATAAACCTAATTGTAAATTTTCAAAACTATAAGCTTATATTTATTAATAACACGCCGGCATGCTGCTTCAAATTATGGCTATGTTCTGTCAAATTTAACATTGCTCTTATGGGACTAAAATCCAATATGGCTACCACTGATGAAGACTCTTATAAGCTATTTATCCGATCCATCATCTCGGAATGAATAATCAAAAGACCAGGAAAAAAGAATAATGTTAATTGGTTTTGTATGTGGTTTTGTTTTATCTCCATAAAGATATTTGTTTACTTCAAGATTCATTTGTCAATCAATCAATCAAGAAATGTATTTTCACAATAATTACAAATACGTAGGTTACAAAAGTGCAAACACCACACAATAGTTTGTCTGCACTAAAAATATTGTTTCTTACCATGTGAATTCAAATTTTTGAGTAAGAACGAGAACTGAGATAAGGCTTGTGTTTTACAAATCACAACATAAAAGTTGCCGTAATTCATATCGCTGTCTTCTTGAGGTGTTTCGGTCTTCTATTTCGGGTCGTCGTCAATAGCAACCACAATGGTGGCAAGTCATAGTGACTTTTGCTTTATGACGACCCGAAATAGAAGACCGAAACACAGTGGCAAGTCAAAGTGCATAATCTCACAGCCTAATTAAACGTTTTCTAACAGTGCCTAAAAGCGTAAACGTCTTATACTGCATAATTTCAAAGTGGGACCATCTCACATCACAGTGCCTAAAACCTATTTTATTGCATAGTGCTATAGTGCATAAGTCCTATAGCGAAACTGTCTCACAGTGCATAATATCATCGTGTAACTGTGTTATAGTGCCTAATTTCGTTTTACAATGCCTAATAGGCAAAATCCCAATAGTGCATAACGGAAAGGAGAGGGTTCTGCCATAGATAAAACATACTATGGTTCCGCTTAGTGAAACAGAAAAGTGACAGTGACTTATAGTATTGAACCTCTAGCAGCTAGCTTAAAATTATCGTGCAAAATTTAAGTATTGCCAGCAAAGGCTTGTATTCCTTTCATGAAAATTTATATATGTTGTATACATATATTCAACATACTGTAACAGAATAATACCCCCGCCACAGCAAACCTGCAGACTAAGCGAATTTCTATTTGCCCGAATTGAATGAGTACCTAGACGTGGAGGCTAATAAAGTGTGGATTTTAGTAAAATATTAGTAGCTTACTATAAAATAAATAAATTTGCCAAGTTTGATCAAAACATTTTCATAAACAAACAAACTACAACAATTTACACTATTCTCAATAACAATAACATAGGAATTTTAGATTTGCATTTTTTTAAATTGTTTTCCGTAACCAATAACCGTACAAAACACTTTGGTATACTACATTATTTTTTAAGCCCTTTAAAATTGCCTAGAGATAAATTGGGAGATAAATCGGTCCCAGTTCCAGGTCTTACCGTGCCACCTACGGTAATAACTACTTCCCTGTAGGGAAATTCGTGAAATTCGCATAACAAGCAATACATTTATGCACTATATAGGACAAAATTCGAATTAGGCACTGTAAGACATATTAACGATTGGAGCTGGGAAATTGCTATTTATCCCAATTATTCCACAAATTCCGAGCAACTACCGTTAGAAATCAAGCGGCTACATTTCCGCGTCACAGTTTGCTTCGCCATGACGATTAATAAATCACAAGACCAGACGTTGCCCACAACCGAACTGAGCGGACAGCGGATCAGCATGTTTCTCTCACGGACAGTTGTACGTTGCGTATTCCAGTGTGAGATCCAGCAAAAGCCACTTCATTCATGCTCCGGGCGGCCAGACTAAAGTAGTGTATGAGGAGGCACTCAGATAAACCAAACACATTGTCATTGTCACATTGACTCTTTGCCAATGAAAGAAACCTTGGGTGAAAGAAGGGGAAGATCTTCTAAATACTATAATTTATACCACTTCTCATTTAAAAATATTATTGTTATTAAAAAAAAAAAACATATTATCATTATGTTTAATAGTTATTTCCACTGTAGCTATTTCCATATCGAATTTCTTTTTAATACAACATCCTAACTATTGTGTTGCAATGGTTGCAATACTTAAAATATTTTTGATACTACAGTATATAATATGATTCTGTTAATCTGTTTAGGCCTCAAGTAGTTGAATCGTTTTTCTGGTAGTTGGAGAGGATACTGGTATTTGAATATAGATTATATAACTACCATTATATTAGTAGGCCTACTGTTATAATTTATTGTTATGTGATTAATTAATCTTCCCCCATAAACTATTAAAAATATGCTCAAATAAGTTAAATATTTTTTTTATTTGCATTATTATAATTAAGCAGGTGTTCCCCACTGTATCTAGTTTCACAAATATCACAACATCATCTGACCACATTTATTATGGATCCAATTTTCTCCAATATTCTGCTGCCATGACATTTAAGTTCTTTTAAATAAATAAATTCTTTGAAACGTGCTTTAGAATGTTTTATACATAAACCCAACAAAGGCCCAACGATTCTTTCCTTTGTAGGGCAACGAATACAATTTTCCGTTGGGCCATAACGTTGACAAATCGTTAAAATTTCCGCCAACCATTTCCCAATAACCGTGCCGACCTTTTCCCAACGTTGGGCCAACGATGTGTGCTACTTGGGACAGTATTTGGATATTATAAAGTAATTCTAATTATGATTTATGCTAAAGGAATGAGAAAAGTTTGAGGAATATTATAGTGTTGAGGTTTTAAAAAATACGGTACTCCTGTATTATTGTAATATCGTTATTATTGGTACAGTTTTTACTTGACTTAAGTGTTGTTTCTCTTGTACTAATACACTATTAATCGCAAAACTACTGCAGCTAACTTCATATGTCATCACTAATGTTCCTACAGTTGTTGAAATTCTCTAGATCAGTCATCGGACGTTCTTTCTGTAATCCTCGTGATTAATGTTCCATAGTCTATTTTAGTATTCGGAGACTTTGACACCAGCCCTCCTCTTAATTTGTCTGTGAAAAAAACATATTAACACGTTAAAAAAGAGCCAACTGGCAAATCATAATTAACTAAAAAAACAGCAAACACTACTTTCTGGAAACTATTCTTCCCTGGCCCAAGCAGTTGCAATTTTTACTTTCTCATTGTATTCAATCCAAAGTTTATAGGTAGGTATAGTTTTTGTCAACATGTACGAATTTCACTTTTTTGTGGAAATATCCCTTTTGGTTCCGAGGGTCACCCTGAACTAAAATTTAAATTTTTAATGCAGATTTTTCCATAAAATACCGCTTATTAGATAAAAAAACTTGAACGTTTTTAATTAAATTACACATACCCCAATCGCTGTAAAAACTATGGTCCAAAAGTTATTGCAACTTTAGTGGTTTCCCCAGAAAATATTATAGTTGAGGTTGTGGCAAGCAAAAACTCACAGGTCCACAAATCAAAATGTTGAGTATCGCAGAATTAATTATTTCAAGTAATTTTACAGCTGATACTGTAAATAAAACATTATGCAATTGGATTATTAATTAATCGGGCTCAGAAATCAATTTACCATCGGTAATACACAACTTAATTGCGTATCTAAAAAATAAAGTTTAATATCGGGCGAGGTTATGCCTGGACTTGTGGGACATGTGAGCTTATGGACAGTACAAATCAAGGATAATATGTGTGGTTATGACTAAACCAATTAATAGTCCTATAATTTCATAACAAACTAGTGGCTTGTAGGGGCAATAGCCCCTATAAATATATATTCCTTGTACAATTATTAGTCTCATGGGTTACCCTACCTTGATTGTCGTTTAACATTTTTGTATATTATAATATGTATAATAGTTATTACATACCTGCATAATGCATGTTGATGTCTGCTCAATTTAAAATAAAAATTACCAAAGGACTTTTCAGGTGGCGTGTTTATAATATAAATTTTCTAATCATAATACAACTAAGGAAAACTTTCAATAATAATCTTCATGACTATTAATTAAAAATATACAAATTTCTTTGAATACAGACAAATTCACTTAGATAAAACACATGGAGATAAATTGTTCAAATAAATGCCAATTTTTGTGAAAACTTTCCTTGTAAACTTAAAAGGCATATTAGGATCTGTAGATATTAGTTTTATTTTTGGCATGAAAAATGTGTCCCCTTTGCCTACTCCAGTAATTACTTACTAACTTTACACTTTTTTCAGACGTTACTAACACAACCAATCGTACTCCATTAACTAATCCAGACCCTAGCTTCATATTTCTAATGAGCATCATCACTATTGAACCAACTTTTAAAACTAATTCGTATGGTTGCATTCCAGATCGTGCAATTGAATTTATATAGTCCATTGGTATGTTCAACCTCTCTTCAGGGTTAGTATACATATTACAGTGCATATTAAATATTACCATTATGCTTTAAATGAAGTTAAACCCATGTTTTAAAGTAAACAAAGCAGACATGACCTAGATTCCCATGTTATTTAAATGTGAATTATTTTATTCCATAACAACCTTTTGGTGCATAATCAAGAAAAATGAATAATTTTCCCCAAAACTTCATGCCCAGACCTTTAAAATGAGACCCCTCCCAGCTTTCTACGGCCTCCTGTTCGCTCACAATTTCATTGTAAAATTTTGGGCTTACGAAATTAGATATATAGATTGTTTATCATACAAAGAATTACTCCCACCGCTTACCCATAATACTGGTTATTACCATTATTAACAAGCTAATAGAAGAAAGTATGTGTCAGATTGCTGATACAGTTTTTTCTGTTTAATATTTGCTACCGGTATGTAAGTTTATTAAACTTTACCTGAGCGCATGGAAAATGTCTTGTTGCCATGTACATGGGGCAAGGTAGTCCTGTCAGGCTCACTGGCTAGACTGTAGTTATCCATGGCTGGAGAAGGGTAGGAATCAAAAGCTGCACTCCAGTCCTCTGAATAGGGATAGGGGGACCACTGAGGCCACATATGCTTGTAGTGGTAATGCTCATCCCAACCCTTGTGGGAAATCTGTTCATGGAAACAAACAAGCAATTTAATAATCAATCTACAACCGTTTGTGTGTTTATTTATCCTAACCGAATCATCATGTTTGACTAGCCAAAAATTTCTAATCAATCTCATGTTTAGATTTTGTTCCTAATTAATTATGTATTTAATTAAATGTTTGAGTTGCTCTAGGTACAAGGTTAAAAAAATACAACTTAGCATCTACAGATCAATATTTTACATTAATTTGTACTAGTTACGATAGTGGAAATTTAATTTGTGAAACAAAAAATCCCCAAGAATCTCTGTAACACAGCAGAATATTTATTTTCTGAAGCTATGAGCTTTTTTAAAGTTATGAGCTTGTATTATAGTCTGCTACCAGCAATACCCGACTTTGACCGGGTACAAATATAATGTACAATAATGGGATTTTTATTTCTGTCTCATAGATGAACACTAATCAATTTGTAAAACGTGACTGATTTTATGAACAAAAATAAAGAACACTTTTATTTAGCATTTACAATTGGCTATCGAACTACAAAAGATTAAATAAAAGGTAACTGAAATATCACGATTTTTAATTGTAAAATGATATAGAACAAGGCTCAGCTAAGTCAGGTTTGCTTAATTGTAGAACAAAATATCGCGATACTGTATATTAATAAAGTTATCATATTCGATCATTTTGGGTCTGGTGTCGTTCGATGGTAATTTATTTTTAGAAAATCTTTATTGTTTCAAAACTATATATAATTGTACGATTATGAATGACACAATGTGTGAAACAATTAAATGCCAAATAAATGTTTAATGCCAAATAAAAGTGTTCTTGGCATTTTTTCATAAAACCAGAGATTTTTTTCGCAATTTAAATTTTAAAATTAAAATTACCGCAATTTCAAAATTTTGAATTTGATAACTTTTCGTCTACCATGGATCAATACTATTGTAACATAAATATCAATATTTATAATGATCAGTTGGAAGAATACAAAGATAAAAATGGTTATGTGAAAAATATAAAGTGGTGGATATTTGGTTAATGATGCGATTTCCGAAAAAGTAATTTTTGATTTTCTCGTTATTTTAGTTCCCCGATGGTCCTACTTGAAGCTGGGCACCCTGTATAAGATGCTTTAATTTACACAAAGTGTTGTTCCCGATGAGATGAGACAAATCAAAGTATAGACATTTGAAGAAACTTGCCTACGTCATTATGTTGTATCAAGTAGGTGCTGTTAAATTAAATGCCTTTATTCAATAACAATAAGACAGTTAATAAGTACCAACTTTTTGCAGCAAATAAGACTTGGTAGCGCAAATATTTTCTAAAATTCTTCAAATAACTGACAAGCACCCTTTCTCAACAAATTCCTTTTCCAGGATTACTCGCTATTTACATATAAAAAATCATACCTTGTGTCGCATGTGCTCATAAATGACTTTCATAGCCAACAACGTAGCTCCAAGCAACGCTACTTTGCTGACAATGAATGATTGGACCACGAATATCTTGAGAGCAGTAAATACAGCAGCTGCAAAACTTGTAAGCTTGAAACCCATCAGAACAGGAATCAGGTACTTCTCTACTTTTTTACTTCTATCTGAAAAAGAACCAACTACTGATAGGAATATTCTATCAAAATAAAACAACTTCCTCTTTGTTGATACAATTCTCTCCAGTGAGTAAATGTTCCTTCCCATCTTGTATTTTAAACAATTGCACTAACAGACGTTAATAATTTTTTATATAGATAATTTTGGGAGCTGAAATCATTAAAAAAACAACTATCTTAGATAGGACTATCCAAATAATTTCTACTGTCGAATCAAACATTGCATCAGGTAAAATATTTATATGATTTTGTTTAAATATCAAGTTCTATAATTCACTGGCCCGGAGCTAAATTTCACAAAACAGACCTCCTGCTCTGATATAGGCCTAAACTTAACATTACGATCTAAATATGTTTAGAGGAGTGTTACAGGTTCGATGGAGAAGCCTTGTTAAGGAATATGACTGGCTTGCTGAAGTGAACCTGAGTTTGTCAGTTTAAGATACAGTAAAACTAAGTGCATTTGCGTCTTAATAAATACCTGTCTCTACAGCACTCGTGTTCAACACATCGGCTAATGGCTTAGTTGTGTAGTTAGTACCATCGTAGTCATTGTTAGTACTGAGGGTGGTGATATTAGTATCTGGCTTCTGCTGCTTAGTTGTGGGATGTCCTTCAGTGACAACAGCACATGCTATCAATGCTATGGCCACTTTCACGTTCATCTCCCTAGAATATGTGTAGTTTGTTGCAATTAGTTAATGATGTGTCTTTAACCTAATTCATAATCTGGACAATAGTTACACAATATTTTTATGGTATAATACTTTTAGGTCATCAAGAGAGAAAATCCTATTTAAAGGATTTCATTTTTTGCTTGATTTAGCTAGTTTGTTGTCACCAAACCATTGTTCGGGGGTGAGGGTTTAAACTCATAAAATTAAGATTAAAACTATGTAAAAGACAACAAATATGTAAGAAACCCTTTAATAATAGTGAGGCTATGCTGTACACACTTTAGCTACACGGGTGAAAGAAGAGTCAATACATCTAATAGTTCCTACAAACGCATAATTTTGTGTAACTTAACTTAATATTAACATTTGTTTTTTATTCCAATATGGCCTCGCCTTAAATTTTTCCTAGTATGTTCAAATGCTATGCTATACTCTGATGGATATATTTGATTTATTAGTTCATCTGATTGTATGGATTTTCATTTAAAATTGTTTTTCAAATCCATCTAGGATTATAGCAGTAACAACTATTATGGGTTCTGCCAAAAACTACCTTCAGGGATGCACTATGAACACCATTAATATGGAATCTACAATTTGCCTTTTAAACTGATCAAATGCAGATTTTTCGTTCAGCTGTGAATAATAGGCAACTGATGTTAACCAACATTTTTATTTACTTTTAAAAAATAAGCTGTAAAATGGGACTTTGCCCCTTTGGTACTAATGAGAAAATAAATTATGACATTTAACAAAATGTATGTTTGAATATTAAAAGGCTCTTTTAAGAAATGTTTTGAGATTAAATGAAAATACTCCTTGCTGCAGCAAACCTGCAGACTAAGCGAATTTCTATTTGCCTAAATTTTAATTAGGTACAGAAATCAATTCTTAAAAATATCAAATTTATTCCTTATTTGAATAATACTTGGATTAATGAGTTAAGTTTGCTACTTTGAAACCTAATAAAGTTTATTTTTAGTAAAATATTAACAGATTTGTTGGATGTCAATGGATAATAGATTAACACCCAAAGGTGTAGCCTTTATATCTAAAATTGTAACCCTGTAGCTTAATATTGGACAACAAGGAAGTCACATAGGGTGAAATATTTCTTTTTATGATTAACCATGTTACATGTTTTTTTTATCCATATCATAAAATATTAGCATCATAAAAAATAAGTACAGTAGTATTGTTGTGGTTTAAGTACATATAGTAAAAATATGAAGTTTTATTCTTAAAAATGAATTCTGTTCACATCCCAATATATAAAAAATGTATTGAAAATAGTACAGTATGCCTAATTTTTGATCCATATTTGGTTTCCACATCGGTATTTTAGTTTAGGAAGCCCGTTCACATAGACTTACAGATCTGATACGTTCCACGCACAGATCTGTAGTCTATGTGAACGAGCAAATGCAAGGTTAAAAGAGGCCGCCAACCTATTAAATTCAAAAAAATAGCATAGTAAGTTTATTTCTAATAATAGTACTTTCTTCTTTGGAGTATGTTTGTACATATTTGATAGTATGCACAGAAAATAGGTTCATACAAACCCAAAAATGTGTACCCATAAAACAAAACATTTTAGCTTAACCAGAACAACTTGCATGTCAAAATTGTGAGCGGTCCATTAAAGTTCGTCCTCTTGCAATTTAAACACCTTTAGGTTGACAGGAAGTATCACATGTGATGCAGACGTCACACCTACGTACTACGAAGACGTACGCCGCTCACCAGCACCACTCGCACTCACGCACTGTAGGTTCTATACTCACGCGTAGTCTTATCTCCACACGTTCTGCTCCCATTTACACTCCCTGGCTCCCGTCTTGTTGGTAGTCGCTGAATTAATGCCCGATGGTTGATAACACACTTTGAAATATACCTACAATTATTTACTCAACCTCTCATCAACAATTACCACTATCGCGATGTAATTATTCCTCAGATTTGGTGAGAGAGGGTGAATTTGCATAAATCTTATTACCGTACTGTTCTATAACATTTCTTCATTCACTAGAGGCGTCAGGGAGTCAGTTCAACATTATGAACTACACCTTTAAAAGTTCATGTACATTTTAATCTTGTCCATTAGATGCGTTTGGATTGTTTAGCGGGGTTAGGATTTAGGGTTAGGGTTAGGATGCAGCCTTTACAAAATTCTGAGCTTGATTTTTTAACAAGATATTATTTACTTGTGGAGTTAACGAATAACAAAAAATGCAATTGGCTACAGCTGGTCCATATAGATAGACTTCAGCATCCAATAGTCAATGGTATTAGGTACTAGTGTTCCATTGTGTATACTGAATCTATTCAAATCATTGAATATACTCGTAATAGATAATGGTTTTGGTTTTAATAATTCAAAAACCTATTATGATACACGACTCAGTATAAAACAGCCCAAACGTTGTGTCTGCTAGAGCATGGGATTGCTTACAAACATACATTCCTGACGTGTAAATCATAACTGCATACATATGTAGAAAATGTCGTATCGGCTTTTTTACATCCATTTTGACTAACAAATCTATTGATAACAATTTTATAAGCTGAAGCAAGCTTATAAAATTGTTATAAGTTGTACACTGAAACTACATATTTAGGGGTTGTGTTTATTCAATGACGCTAGATTCGTATACTTTAATATATATTTTATCTCATTGTTTCATGCCATTGCAAAAATAAATTTTGTGTTTGCAGTGGCATTCCGAAATCCACTAAATGTCGATGTTCACGTAGGTACTTTATTCGTGGTTTCCGTGCAGTAGCAGACATTGCGGATATGTGATGCAGTATGCACTGCGGGAAGGTTCGTTGACTGCATTTTAATAATTAATTGTCTGTCTCGCTAGTGACAAAGCCTTGTACCTAGCCTGGGAGTTCACGCTCTAGTAACTCTACAACCCCGCGCCAGTACCTTGCGTGGACCAGTTCTCTTGCGGACCTCTTTTTATTAGCTAACTGCTGAGTAAATATTTCTCATTATAAATTAACTAGCAGAGTACCCGTCCTTCGTACGGGGTTGGAATATAAGTATAAAATGCTTATTGCAGTTATACTTAAGCTTTGTGTTTGCAATAAGGGAGGACACAGTTTGATGAATTTGCTTTTTTAAATTTACAGTATTCTATAGCATTACACAACTACCATAGCCATAATGTTCTACCACTTCACCTAAACAATAGAGAAAAATAAACTATCAACAATTCGCACAATAACACAAATTATTCATGAAATGAAAAACATAAACATAACTATAAATAATCCTACTTTGACAGTTCTCATTGCGAATCACAGTTTTTTGTTGCTGCTTAGTTTAAATTAGCTATTATCATAAATGCATAAAAAAAATTTAGTGCTGCACACTGTTGGTAAATCTTATAACTTTTTTAATGCTTTTCCATATCATAGAACCAACTTTTTTAGTTGAAACAGCTGACTATTTTTTTTTTATAAATTCTTTAATTCCCTTTAAATATGAATACTCATAAGGTTAACATGGAGAGTTACAGAGCCACTGGGGCGAAGCCCGAAAGGATTTTTGAGATAAGAATATGCCTATAATGTTAATCGGGAATGTAAGCTATCATCATGCCAAATTTCAGCCCAATCCGTCCAGTGGTTTATGCGTGATTGAACTTCAAACAAACAAACACACAAACTTTCACAATTATAATACTAGTTAACCGCCCGTGCTCCGCCACGGGAATATTGTCAGCAATAAAAGACATAATAATTAACAAATAGTCAAGTCAATAATTTATTTTCACATAACGTTTTACAGATCCAGCATAGCTGGGAAACAGGTGAAATGGTCATGGACAATTAAAATACATAAAACTATAATAACTATACAATATGCTAACAAATCAAATATATACATCATTTAAAAAATCATCAAATTTGTAATACCCTTTATTAAGCAGCAATTTGGTAACTTCTTTTTTGTATTTTTCAAAAGATTCTAATGATTTAATATTATCAGGCAGTTTATTATACAGTTTTTCCCTAGGTATTGTGGAAGAGTTTCTAGTGAGGCAAGTCTATGAATGGGCAGTTGTAAATCATTTCGATGTCGTGTTAAATAATTGTGGTTATGGTTTTCATTCATAAAATATTGAAGATTTTTTTAAATAAATATTAAAGTTTGCAGGATATAAACAGACGGAAGTGTTAATATTTTCAATTCTCTAAATAATAATTTACAGGATTGCCTAGGCTTTGAAAATGTCATAATTCTAAGGATCTCTTTTTGAATTTTGAAAATGGTTTCGGCATTTGAGCAGCTGCCCCAGAACTCTATTCCATACAACATGTTTGACACAAACAAAGCATAATAAACAATCATCCTTGTTCTGAGGTCAGTAACATGCTGCAGGACAGACATCTGGAAACAGACTGTATTTAGTTTATTAGCTAAAATTGATGTGTATTTATCCCAATTTATTTAAAGTGTTTTGTACCTGAATACCTAAAAATTTTGTAGATGATGTTTCATTAATAATTTCCCCCTGAAAATTAATATTTAATTCGATGGTTTAATATTTAATTCGATTTAATACTGTTTATTTTTGTATTTTATTTAGGGGCTGCTTAATTTTTTACATGAAACAGAACTGGTAGTTGGCCTGTATAAACTATTTTATGTTAAACAAACCGATATATTAGTTTAACCAAATAAATGTTTTAGTACCTGGGGACCGAGCTTTGCTCGGGAAACCTTATCACTACACTATACTTTGAGAGTATTCTTTGGTCAATGTAAATCTATCCCAAAAATATTAATTTGCGGTAAATTGTTTCATGACATCAATTTAACTTCTATTAAAATAATGATATCATAGTTTACTGAAATGATGAGATAGTAGAGTTTTTAACAATTTGTTTGGTTCCTCATAAACGCCCAAAACTATAGATAATACAGTATTTTTCACGCTGAATTCGAAAAAGGCTATCAGCAGTAAGAAAATCTTCTCACCTTCCTTCCTTTGAAGTATTAGTTACTGCAAGAACTTGGACCGGAACCTTAATAAGCAGCAACTTATACTATGGAGATAATTTATTCATGTAGATTCCTATATTCGTTGTTTTTTTGTTCATTACATTTGTTGTATCGAATAAAGATAGTCACTTACATGTAAATCACGCATCAGCAGTTGGTCACATTTCACGAATCTTTGATTCATTCTGTGAGTAAAAGATCTGTGTTTACGTCGTATATTTAAAGTTGGACATACTTGGGTTCAATATTAGAGGGTATTGACATTCCAATCCGATGGTAAAAGGAGTTCCGGATCTTAAGATTATAAAGACTACCTCTACCAGAAAGATGTTGATGCAAGTGAGACTTAGAACTCGCCATTTCAAATGCAGAGTTGTATGATATTATATTATTCAAAAAGTTTTGTTGTTGTTTCTTTTGACCCTTAATACTTTATTTAAAGTCGCTGTAGCCCCGTTGATAATATTTTCCATAAACTCAAAATGTTGATAAGGAGCTCATTTTACCTTCCCCTTGTGACAACATAAGGAGAGTGTCCCTGTTAGTCTGTTCTGACTCAAAATTCATAGATTTGCAGTAGTGACAAATCCAATTTAACGACCCCAATTCAAAAGAGTTGGTGTTTTTTTTTAGGGACTTATTAAATAACAAACAACATCACTACTCTTTACTTTTTTAGTTCGATGGTTCTCTACGTGTTTTTTTCGTTCTAAATGTCTCTTTACGCCCGGTTAAGGATTACCTTTTCTTTTTCTTTTTGTACATTTCACACCCTGGGGTTAATGATACAGTTTTATAACGCTGTAATGACCCGAGTCAACATTGCCATTAACATCAAGTCACATACTTCTTCGCCAGAACCAAAATCGTAAAAAATATTTAGGCTATAGTTCACTGATAAATTGTAGTTCCACGTATCCCAGCGTACTCCCCATCTCAAAAAGGTAAAGTTTGGTACTGCTGAACGTTGATCTTGAGTAAGATCAATCACTTAAGATAAAATGTTTGTATGTTTCCCACTCATTAGCAATTATATCTGTACAAATTGCAAGCGGATTTCCCTATGATTGTTCTGGTGGCTATAGAGAATAAATTATATTGATCAAAACAATAAGTTTCCGTCCCCTACTATAGGTATCTATCTATATATAAATAGGCAAGCATGTTTCTTTTAAACCTTTTTTCTCAGCTCGTGTGCATCGTAGGGAAAATCTACGCATACCGTTAGAAAGCTATTTTCCTGTAGGTGTGCAGAATCCCTTTATAAATTTAAATAGGCTCAAAGATAAGCGCAAAAAATGAGTTTAAAAATTTGAAAAAATTAACATGGATCTTATGCGTTGCCATGCTGGTGACGAAATAACAACGAAATATAAACAGAAAATCAAAACAAATGGAAGATACTCCAATCACATGTTTTATTTACAATGTGGGTGAAACATTTAACATAAGTGAGTACATTACATATTTTTGGTCGAGTTTCGACCACTGGACGACCTCTAGTTATTTTACATTCCATACTCAAACTTAAACTCAATTACCACTTTCCTTCAGATCACTTCGCAGGAAAACTAAAACATTGCAAAAATACAAAATTTACACCAAAACATACAAATAATGTTCAAATACATTTATAAATAATACATTGTGGTATTAAAAGTTAACACATACACTTTTCTTGATCAAAATCGTGTGTTTATAAACAGGAACTCCTAGATTAATAATGACACACTGAAAGTGAGGTTATGAAAATAATAACAAATGTCTGACAAACATTA